GAGAGATAGCTTGAGTCAGACTTGTTCTCTATGGTCGTTAACCTAATTTAGAACTGGAGACTTCAACCTCGAGTTGAGGCTCTTGTGCGGTTGCGCTATGCGCGGATTCTGTTCGAGGAAACAGACAATGATCTCGAGGCTGAGACAGCTTTGAGCAAAGGCGTATGTATTCATTCTCTGCCCCCACTTCTCGAGTGCCATGGCTAAGGTCTGTTCCAGATTGATTTGTGTGAGCGCGTAGGTAAATCCGAGCAGATGATGAATGATTCAAGCTTACACCGGACTAGAACCGCATGTTAGATCTGAAGTATAGTATGCAGCATCTCTTGGCTCGGATGCTACACAAGACGAACCCGAAGGCCTCAATGAAAGCCGTCGATGGCATGATACAAGATGTCGAAGCGTGAGTTCCTCAAATCGCGAACGTTGGAGATTCTTACTAACATCAGCAGTTATCGCCATTCGGCCTGGGAATATGCCTTTCGCTTCCTTCGCGCATCGCTCTCATTCTCTTCCCACGCCCATCAAGATTCTGTCTCAGCACTACAACACCTCCATAAAATAGCCAGCATGGCCCATCGCAATGGTGACAAGGCCGTTTCAGCTATGTCTGCTATAATAGAAGCCCTTGCACATTTGCAGCAAGGCACCGGGTCCGACGCGATCGAGCAGGCTCAACGCGCAGTGGCGGCAGCACGAAGCCATCAGTTGAACGATGATCTTCGTCACATTCCGCAGCTGACGACGCTGGTCCAGATTGTCGACATATGCTGTAGTCTTTTGGACTACGACGTCAACCAATCGTCTCAGAAGCTGAAAGTCATGCAAGACATGATGGATGAGCGATTAAATGACTCAAACTGGCGCGATGACGGGTCCTTCTCCATCCCTCTGAGTGGCAAGTCGGCTGGTCCTTCTTCCATTGACACCGGGGATATTCTCCAGGTACAGAGCGGCACCCTATTGTTGAGCTTCAATTGGCTCCCGCAACACGACCTGTATGCACTTTGCTATTTCCTCAGCTCCATCACTCTCAGCTGCAAAAACTCCTATGACGGACGCAAAGCGGAGAAGTTCCTCCAAGAGGGCATACGCATGGTAAAAGGTTAGTCGGCTGCGATTTGTGGTTCTCTTTCTTTCTCTTGACCTCACACTGACCCGGCTGCCTGCAGGAAGTTTCAAAGCGCCACAAGAAATTACTGAGTCTGTGGTAAATGCAAACAGACGCGTCGAATGGCGCCGAACCCTCTACTGCAGTCTCCTCGTTCAACAAGTCTTTCTCGCCTGCGGTCGCACCGACTGGGATCTGGCCACGAAAACGTTACACGAATTGCGACAAGAAGCCCTAGGTCTCGGTGGCCAGCTTCCGGAGACCATCAAATGCATGATGGACTACGCGAGCGGCGCCATCGCCCAAGCGACAGGCGATTTGGATGCAGCCCTCCAGGCGTTCCAGTCCACAACCCTCTCTCTGCACTCCTCGTCCGCCACCACCAGCAAAGGCGCGCGCAACGACCCCCGCCGGGACCTTGCGATACTATCCGCGCTAAACACCGTCCTCATCCTCAGCGAACCATCTCACCCGTCTCATCACCAACTCCCCGCCATCCTAGCCACCGTCGAACCTTTTTGTACATCTAGCCCCAGTAAATACATCCAAGCCGCCTATTACCTCGTCTGCGCTACCGTGCAGACCGAATCAACCATTCAAACCAAACAACACCTTCAACAAGCCCTACAATCGGCCACAGCCATCAACAACAGCCAGATTACCTGCATGACCCTCACTTTCATGAGCTGGAAATACTTCCGCGGCGTCGTCGGCGAGCAGGCCGAGAAGAGCGCCCGGGCCGGTCGCGCCATGGCCCGAAAGGCCAACGACCGCCTTTGGGTCAGCGTCACCGACGAAATGCTCGCGGAGACGCTGGAACGGCAAGGCAAGAACGAAGAAGCCTTGGGAGTGAGAGAGGAAGGCCATCGGGTGATGAACGGCTTACCGGCGGCCCTAAGGAGGGCTGTCTAATGGAAGGTAGATCTGGTTATTTGTCAGAGAGAGAGAGAGAGAGAGTGTGTGTGTGTGTGTGTGCATGTGATGTCTCATTGTATTGTCCTGATATAGAGCGTCTTATGTCCTTTCTCATTTTCTAGGGGTTGGCTTGGGTTGGGGTTTTCTGACTGGGTGGGTTATCGTGCTACTTCATCATCTACGATCGCCCATATTTGGCGTGTATGCTCTCATAGTATCATTGTTGCGACAAGATAGAGCCCGTAGCCCCCCAAAATTGGGCTCGCTTTCATCAACTGGTACCATTCTGGTTCTCTGTGTGCGCGGGTGTTGAGATGTCATTTTCTTTTGTTTGCGATACCGTTTAAGGGATCTCGCGTACACGGCCATATACTAGTAATTCATCATTGGGGAACACGTCTCCCAAAAGTCGCAACGCGAATCACTCCCACTTCCCATACGGGTATTGAATAATTCCATACCCTCGGTGACGCCGGACAAGCAAAGTAGATGGCTAAAAAATGAACCGCAACCCTAGGACTAACCTACGGCCCCTGACCAGCCTGAGAATGAAGCATGTTCGACAAACAGCAGTGATTAAACAGATTAGGTTGGATATGCTTCATTGTATTTTGATACACATGCATCATGCGCATGCGCATGCGCAAGGCGCGCACGAGTACGATCAACATGAATGTAGTCCAGACATGCCCAGTAGTGCATAGATCATCAGGCCGTCTAGAGCTGCCTGACAGCTAGCCAGAAAAGGAGGCACCGATCACCGCCGCGACAGACAAACGAGGGACAACATTCAAAAAAAAAGGAAACACCATAGAAACACACCCGCTATACCAGATCGTCGCCGTCGCGGGTCGATGGCTGACTTGGATTATCAAATCTATCGATAAATAGATAGATGGGGGGAAATTTGACATTTGTAACTCCGTTCACCTTGGATTTTCTCCGTACGCCTGCGCGCAAGAAGCCCTATACACCCAGCTGAGTAAGGAAAGGGAAAGCGATGACGCAAAACAACATAATCCGGAACCCCCTGAGAGTTTTGATAGAACAGAAGGTATGCAAGTCGAGTCTCGGGAACAAAGAGAACGGTAGGTAGAATCTGAGGAGACAAAGTGAGATCTTCGAGCCGGGAAGATCCCGCATGCGAAGGTTGAGTGGGTGAATTCTGGAGGAGTGGTGATTTAGAGGTCGAGATCTCGGATTAAATAAAGACGCTTTTGATGTGTTCCACGAGAGCCCGCTACCTTTTAGCTCGACTGCTGCTTCATTCTGTTCCGATGATCTCAGGTGGTCCTGAAAACGGGTTATAAGCTCTAACCAACCATTGTCCGTCAGATAGAAGATGGAACAGCAAGAGACGACATTAATGAAATGAGATCGGATGTTGTTTTTTTCTTATTTCAAGCATGTTGGAAAAAGAGAACCCCGTCTAACCCAGACCACCCCAGACACCCCGGATGCGTCGAGCAAGCTGGATATCCTTCTGCATGATGGTCACGCGCTTGGCATGGATGGCACAGAGATTGGTGTCCTCGAAAAGATGGACCAGAAACGCCTCGGCGGCTTCCTGAAGAGCCAAGATCGCATGCGATTGCCAGCGCAGCTCGGAGCCGACTTCGGCGGGGAGAAGATCCAAGGCAACCTCGCGAACCAGTCGCGCGAATGGCAGCTTTCGGATGAGCAGGTCGAATGAGCGTTGGTAATGGCGGATCTCCTTCAGGGCAACCGTTCCAGGTTTGTACCGGCGACGACGACCTGTGGGGGTGGGATCACCCGCTATAGGATCCTGTCAGATGCTTGGTTCTGGAGACGGTCGAGGAGGGCAAACATACGTTCAACATTGGATGTCCTGGGCGCTTTAGCCGGTCGCTTGCCTTTGGTGACACCCGCAGGTTTACGCCCGCGAGCGGCCGGGGTTGTGGTCGTCGCAGCTGGGGCAGTTGACGGGCCGGCAGCAGCGGCGGCACCATCATCAGTAGCAGCAGCAGTAGTGGCGGCGGCGGCGGCGGCGGCGGTTGATTTCCGTGGCCCAGCAATTGACTTGCGACCGCGCCCTGTCTTAGGAGGCATGTTGAAATCTGTGTTTATTCGGTATACCCGGGGATGACGAACAAAGTGGTCAATGTGAGAGAATTGGCACGAGTCCCTCCTGCTGCAGCTTGCAGACGGTCAACCACTTGGGTATGACCGTGAGTTTCCGGGTGGAATCGAGTCTTATTGTGCGAGTGCAAGTTAAAGAGGCGTGGCAGGGAAGACAAGTCTCGAGAGCCAAGAATGTTGTTGTTATTGTTGTTGTTGCACCGTTTGTTTTGATTTTTTTTTTAGCTTTGGTCCGTCACGAACCGCCAGGACAGCCTTGCTTGGTAGACTCTGCAGACTTTTGTTGCAATTCTAAGTTGGGTTGGGGATGAAAGGGCTCAGAAAACTGGTAAACGGTGGTTAAGTTATTGTAAGTACGGAAGTACTCCGTAAAGTGTATGCAATCGGATGAAGGTGGGATTTGGAGATCCCAGCCACCTGCATTATTTCCATGAGTGACGCGTGGGGGACCGCGTTTCGTCTCGGCTTCAAGCGCGCGCGTGTGAGTTTGGATAGCTTACTAAGTGATTAATAAGCCATCCGCTTACTGAGGAGCTGTGATCTGGCCTCAGGCAAAAAGGCCAGCTAGCTGGAAGCTCTTTCTCTGTCTTTTCCGCCAGTGAGTACCTTAACTTATCAGCTCAGCTCAGCACAGCACAGCACACCTCCCAATCTTATCAGTTGTCAAGTGGCCTACTCCGTACCTCACCATCGATCCTATCCCATTCCTTTACTTTCTCTTCCCAACCCATCCCGTGCCAATTCCTCAGCTTCTCCAATCAATTGCTACTCTTATCTTACCTACAGTACTTAGAGAAGAGATAGAACATCTCAATCTCGCTCATCCATTCCGCATCTGCACCTTCAAGACTAACATACTCCACTCCAGAACACAATGGCCGCCATCTGGGGTAACGGCGGGCAGGCTGGCCAATTTCCGCTTGAACAATGGTTCTATGAAATGCCTCCCGTGACACGCTGGTGGACAGCGGCCACCGTTGTCACTTCGGTATTGGTTCAGTGCCATGTCCTTACTCCCTTTCAGCTATTCTACAGCTTTCGCGCCGTATATGTAAAATCTCAGGTATGTTGCGCGCAGTCCGGAGCAAAGGCAGGCGACCGCTGCCTGTCGTTTAGTGATAGTGATAGTGACGACGCTTCAGCTAACCGTGGTGCGCAGTACTGGCGCTTACTGACCACTTTCCTCTACTTTGGACCATTGAACCTCGATCTATTGTTCCATGTCTTCTTCTTGCAGCGGTACTCGCGCCTTCTAGAAGAGTCGTCGGGTCGGTCGCCCGCTCATTTCTCTTGGCTGCTGTTCTACGCCATGGCCTCTCTTCTTTTGCTTTCGCCATTTCTCTCGCTGCCTTTCTTGGGAAGCGCCCTCTCATCGAGTCTTGTGTACATCTGGAGCCGTCGCAACCCGGACACTCGTCTGAGCTTCCTCGGGATGTTGGTGTTCTCGGCGCCCTATCTCCCCTGGGTGTTGATGGCGTTCAGCCTGGTCGTCCACGGGATTGTGCCCAAGGACGAAATCTGCGGTGTTGTGGTCGGACATGTCTGGTACTTCTTTAATGATGTCTACCCATCGCTGCATGGTGGACATCGGCCTTTCGATCCCCCGGCCTGGTGGGTACGTCTGTTTGAGCCCGCGACTGGCGATGGGAATGGTGGTCTCGCTGCCACTGCCGCCGCCGCACCCGAAATTCGATGAGCGGTTGACGAAGGCTGAGACTTGCAAGTGGAATGCATGCCGTGAAAATCGCCGACCGAGGCCCTATCACCTCTGAAGCACACGAGTCTCTTCCCAACCAGAAAATTTCTCGATTGAAGACCGCGATGTGCAGGGGACATGCGCACTTGAAAGTACAGAATTCAAACAACCCTTCGATAATGGCAGCATCTCTGCATGTTGGGTCACTCACTCAGATGCGTCGGGAGGTCATTTGATATGGTATGGTGATGCGGTGCAAGGGCTATTTGCGCCACTATCGCTTTCTTGTTTGACTACCTGGGGGTGCTATGCAGCCTGTCGCATTGTCGATATGTTGCACGTGGGCGCAAGCATCAAACTCATTTGCTGGCTAGGTCGAGCGAAAGATGTGGTCTTTTAAAAGGGGAATGAAAGTCTCGAGCCGAAGATGCCCGGTGGATAAGCGTGACCTAGGCATCTGTCGGAGGACTTTGTGACATTGTTTCTTTTGCACGTTGAGCTCTTTAGCGAGTTACATTGGATATACCCCTGTTGTAATGCAAACATTGATCACGTTGTGATATGGTTTCGGAAAGAAGAGAACTCAAATAGGTCCTCCAGCAAATGAGAAGGTGGGGAGGATAACTGATGCTAAGTAAGTATGTGCCTTAGACTGCATGGCAGGGTACTGAACGGCTGGCTGGCCTGCCCACGTGTACTGTAGATCCCCAATGCCGGGGTAGAAAATCTCCGCATGATCGGGGAGCGGGTGGGCTTAACCGCCGCCGACGACATACTATGCAAGTTACTAACGTTATATGTGATAAAGTCATTCGACTCTGGCCTTGCGCTTGGATCTCTCACCTATCGCATCTCCATCCATGTGCCACCACACTGGCCGTCTCTACACAATGGATCTTTCACGAGAAATCGGTCAGGGTTCCCAGCGAAGCCAGGACCTTCTTCCTTGGCCCACGTCATGATCATCATTCGCTAGACCTGTTGATCACCAACCACCTCGCATTGGTTGGTCCATCCCTAGGGTATAGCATCCAAATTTCATAAGCGGCGTCCGGGTTTCCCACGGCGACAACCGGGGGAGAAAATCAACCATGCAGGTGGGGTGGGTGAAGATGATGCTATTGTCACTTTGTGGCCAGACACGGGATGCAGGGTTGTTGGGAGAGACCGACGACGTAATGTACAAATGTAGAAAGTCCCTTTTCCTGCCTCAGGCAGAGAAATTGATTATCCAGAGGTAAGAATTGAGTAATCATGTACGGAGGCACTACAGTACATTTTAGGTAGGAGGATTATCGTGGGATTAAACTGCGATGTGCGAAGTCGCGAATCTATTCGTACAGTAGGAGAATTGATCGTCGCTGCTTCTTGAATTGAGGTGCAACGGGTGGTCGCAAGGGGCAGGGTCCAGCTGGGGAGGGGAACTTCGGTGTACGCCGGGAGTATCTATCCGTCGCCCACAAAAGAGACCAAGTTAAGGGGGATGTTTCATTTCTGTTGCATATGAAGCCAAGATTTCGAATATCGGGGGGCGAGGTCTGGATCGTTGTCCATGTGTACAGTATTTCTGTACTCAACACCTTGGCATTGTTGCTGCTCAAGGCAGTGTACGAGTACGAAGGTACAGTCTGAATGCGGTCGGCAGAAATCCACCGCCCGGCGACGAGCGACCGAAGAAATTGTCCTTGGAAGTTGTAACGAAAAGGTGAAACAGCCGGTAATAAATTAGCTGGTCTAGCTCAACATCCACCACGGCACCATCTGCTTGTCCACGCGTCTGACAGTCTAATCGGCGAGTAGGACGAAAGGATCTGACTTAAAGCATGGAACCTTGACAAGCCGTGGGTCGACGGGGAAGCCATTGAAGGAAGAGTGGACCGACCGGGCGATTCCTTTTGGTTTTCTCGGTGTTTAGAAATGGTTTTGTCGAGGGTCGTCTAGCAAGAGAGCCGAGGTTGGGTCAAATCTGGGGATAACTCTCTTTTTTTTTTTTCTTCTTTTTTTTTTTGCTCTTCACGAGTAAATTTGTCCCCCTCTACGGAGAGTGGCAAAACAATCAGGTGTCACTATCTTCGAGAGGTCGAATGGAGGGTCAGCTGCTCACACGGATACATACATCCTCCTGTTCTATTACACTCGGTAGCTTTGATGCTCATCCGACTCGACTCAGCTCGACTAGACGAATAATCTCTCGAATTGATATCCCAAATCTCCATCTGTCAAACCTCACTCACAGGTTTGTGGAGCCCGGAGGAAGCAGTTCACTAGTCGAGGTCCCACCCATTCCAGAATCCAGAGAGTCGGTCGGCGAGTCGGCGGGAAAGTCGCCCGGTCGCCGGGAATCGTACTCGTAAATGCATACCCGTTCCGACGGAGTTTGGTTCGGTTGTTGGCTGGCCTTGGAATACTCAACGAGGCTCAGCCTGTGATGAACGGTCGTGCACAGAGACGATGATGATGTAGTGCCACACACTCGTTGTGGCTGGGAATCCTGGAACCTATTCTACTACGTACTGTGTGGCAAGCAACCGTCGACCTTGGAACTGGCTGGCCTGGTTTTTCTTCTGCCTAGAGGGGTCCTGTTGTTGCTCATGTTATTGTTTATGCCCCGCTTCTTATCTTCGATTCCTCTCACTCTTTCGCGATAATGTCACCATGTGATAGGATCCGTGCTAGTGCACTGTCTTCAATGTCGAGGATCTTGTTGTCACAAGGTGCTTGTCGCACGCACACTGATAGAGGTCGTAGGAAGTGAAGTCGCCTAAACCTGCATGAATACAGTATGAGCCACCAGCCAATAGCATTGGAAAGGTAAATTGGTTCTATCTGTCGGCTTCTTTATGCAGCAGACCTGCATGCGCAAGCCGGGGGCATTGGGGTGTTTTACCTCCGTTCCAAACTTAGATCCTTGGAAGCATGCTCCGGGGCAATGAGCATTGCGAGACCCGAGATCAACTGCATCCCGCATGCTGACCTGACACACGCAGCTTTTGAGCTGAAATCAGCCAAGTAAGGAACTTCGTCAGGGATTGAGAAGTTAAAGACAGTAGTCAACTCAGGACCACGGTCTTAGTCAGCGGGAAATTCGCTTGACTGTCAAACACCTAACTACGAAGTTCTCCGTACTATTGACACAAACACTCGAATGCGGTCGCAATAACAATGATCAGAATTGAGATCGATTCATCAATAGACTAGTAGGTTAGGGCTTTTTCAATCTGTACTCACTATTGCCCACCTAAATTCTCCGACTTGCATGTACAAGGCTACGTATAGACATGATCAGATCATTGGATTTCCTCCCCAACAAGAATTCAACAATCGACGCCCGAGCAGGGGATGTCATGATTTCCCGCTAATATCACCTCCTAGTGTCAATCATGATTTCACAAGGCTCTACTACCTGACCAAACCTCTGGATGCAATCTCAATTGTTATTGACCTTACTACTCATGTAATCGTCTACCGTACCAGAATTGAAGTTCCGCCCCCCCCCCTCTCCCCGGGGTGGTTGCCAACGCCGCGGTGGGATATCATTTGGCCGAGCCGTGATGGCTGTGCTTTTGGGGCCTATTTCCGCGGCACCAATCAAAGAGTGGATATCTGGCACCATGCTTTCCCACCACAGCGAGGCTGGAAATGATTAGCGCACTCGACTAAATTCTCGAACGTTATTCAACGTGTTGACTCTTGAGCCTTGAGGCGGTGGGAGGAAAGAATGAGCGAGTTTCTTCGAGGCCCCGTATAACCACCTGCCAAGTGGCAACGCATCTTGTTCGCCTCGAGGAATGGGCCTGACTGTCAGTGATTGGTTATTAGTGGAGTTGACACTTGATGGACAACCGTAATGTCTGTAGGCAGTGCAATAATGTACGGAGTAGGCGATGATGTATGTCGAAGCAGCAGCACTGCAGACGGGATTCAGCATTGCCCCGAGAACCCAGACAGAGGAGAAGAGGAACCACTACCGAGACAACTAACTTCCCACTAAACGAGTACGGTTCCTAGCCTAAGTACCGTCTAGTACTAGTACCACAGACTAAAGTTGCCTCTCAAGTCTAGTCCCAATCTAGTAGAGGAGGAGACCGACTTCACTGAAAATGATCTAGTGGCGGAGGCTTAGCACTGGCAGCAACGCAAACCTTTCCCCAAACAACAGGCGGTGGAAAAAGGAAAAAAGGATTCATGATGGGTCTAGGATCCACTTTCCACTTCTCTCAGTCTCCCAGTCTCTCTCTCTCTCTCTCTCTCTTCCTTTCCCCCACTGTTAGCCCCCCCCCCCCTTCCATCTCCCCTCTTCCTCCCTCCCCTTTCACACACCCATTTCATCCCCTGGTTTGGGTGACGGATGCCCCCCTCCTTCTCCAGTAAGACCCAGTTAAACCATGGGCCGTTGTTGACGCTTCGCGCGGTGTCTCTCTCTCTTCCGCTCGCTTTCTCCGTCTTCTCCTCAACAACCTCCCCCCCCCCCCCAAAAAGGATCCCCTTCTCTCTTAAACTAGTCAATCCATTGTCTTTTTTTTCCGCCACACTCTCTACCTTAAATATTATTTCTTACGGCTTTGTTGCTAAGGCACCGTTCGTTCCTTTGGCTCGCCTAGCTTTCTTTTTACTCTCTGCCTATCACATAGTCCTTCTTTTTGTCCCAGTCGATGGACCAGTAAATTACGCACTCCTTTCCTATTATTTGTCCACCTGGTTAAATCGATCCCCTCTCTCCATACCTATTCAATCAATTCTCTTTCGTGCCTCCTCTTGTTGTCACTTTTTTCCCCCAAATAAATTTATCCACCCCCCACGCTTCCCAATCCCAGCGTCTTGACTGGGGGCTTGGTTCACTACGGGAACCTAATAATAATCACCACTTTATCTATCACCACCTGCCTTCCCCGTGGTCACTGCTCCATTCCCTTTCCTTTCTTCATTATTACTACTACTACCACTACTACTACTACCACGACGCCAGTCCTTGCCTTGTTTGGTTACCTGTGCGAGCTTTGATCCTTTAAACCATCAGACCGGTCTCCATCCAGGGTAACTCAAAAAGGAAAAGGGGGAAACGTTACCAGGAAGTCTCACGGCCGTCATTCCTAAATTCGACCTCCCTTCAACCTCAACGTTTTTTTCTCTTCTTCATTGCCATTGCATTGCATCGCAATTTCTCGACCTGACCCTCGACGTCCCATGTTGTCTGGTCTTCAAGGACAATAAGGGTTTTCGTCTATCGTCCACCCCGCATTGCTTTCTCGCCGCCGCTGTGTTTATACTGCGGGGAAATCTGGAAGTGTTGTAGTTTGGGTATATCGTTCTCGCGGCCCTTTCGTTCCTTCCCGCTGCGGTCAACACGACGACGCTACGACACACTAGACTCGCATCAATTAAATTCTGCATCCTTGCAGCGCTTCTTAATTCCGGCAATTGTTCCAGTTTACCTTTACAGGAGGTGTCCTTCAGACCTCCTACTCCGTCTTTCATCATGCGGCGCGGTGTCTTGATTTTCCTCCTCGTCAACCTCCTCATAGTCACCTTTCTGGTGCGCAGTGTGTTCACGCTTCTGTCGCTGCTCGTGGAAGATGCTTCCGCCGACGCCATTCATCGTGCCGAGCTCCCCTCGCCGAATTCCAGTTTAATCGAACAGCGGCCGCAAATCATCCCCAAAATTATCCACCAGACCTACAAAAACGAGACGATCCCCGAGGTGTGGAGAGAAGCTCAGCAGAGCTGCATTGACTTGCACCCTGACTACGAGTACATTGTATGCCACTTGCCATTGTTCAAGATTTATACCTGAGACTAACACAAGCTTGCCCGAAACAGCTGTGGACGAACGAGAAGTCGCGCGAGTTTATCGCCAACGAATATCCCTGGTTTCTCGAGACGTTCGATGGCTACAAGTACCCGATTCAGCGGGCAGATTCGATTAGATACTTTGTTCTGGCCCACTACGGTGGCACCTACATTGACCTTGACGATGTGCGTACCCCTTTTCTCTCGCTGATGACCATGTTATTGACCGATCCGCAGGGATGCAACCGTCGCCTAGATCCTCTTCTCGCCTACCCTGCTTGGGTGCGCCGCACTGTTCCCACCGGTATCTCCAATGACGCGATGGGCTCTGTTCCACAGCATCCCTTTTTCTTGCGCGTGATCGAGCTATTGCAGTCTTATGACCGCCATTGGCTTCTGCCGTATATCACCGTGATGTACTCCACCGGCCCACTCTTCCTCTCGGTGATTTGGAAGGAATACATGCAAACCCTTCCGAGCGAATCGGCACGTGTGCGCATCTTGATGAAGGACGAGTACAACAAGCACTCGTGGAGTTTCTTCACTCACCACGTGGGGAACAGCTGGCATGGCAAAGACGCCCGTCTGATCTTCTGGATGGGCCAGCACTGGATGTTCCTCACCGTTCTCGGATTCATTCTGGCTGCCGTGGTCGGATTCTCCCTCTGGTGGCTCTATGTTCGGGTTATGGTGCTTGGTTCGAAGTACCGCTACCGTTATGCAAAGATTCCTTCTTTCGTGACGGGATCTCGGTTACCTTCCCCGACAAGAATGTCGCGTCGGATGATGCCCACTCTGCTTCGCCGGGTCAGCTTCAAGGAAGATGAAGAAGCGAACGGTGTTACGGAAACTTCCTATGAACTTTATAGTCGTCGTGATTAAGCGTTTCGACTTACAACGCGTACCTTTACAGTCTTTTCGCGTTGGGACTTGATGACATCCTACTTTTCCTCTACCATTTTAATGTCTCCTGATTTCGTCGGGAAATTTCGTCCAGTTTCTGAAGTGCATGTACGGAGTTCGGGAGGGGGGCATGGGTTTTGACCGAGATGCTTTCCAAGCATAGGGTTCCTTGTACATGTTTTGGCAAGATACTTTGATCTATGCGCGGGCGTTCTGCAAGGCAGCGCACGTGTGTCGTATCTGGCTTTCTTTCTTGGATGTCTTACACTTTTTTTTTTTTTTTTGCCTTCGATTCTTCACTGTCTGCTTACCCTTTCACACCTTTTACTCTTTCCAGCCCCACCCATAGACTTGCGATTGATTTTGGGTAGAGAGTTGTTTGAAATTCCAGTCACAGATGCCTGGTGCTGCTGGGACCGCTGAATGAAATCCTGTGGTGGCTTGCCATCCTACTATGACGATCAGCATATTTTAGCACTGTCCGCATCAATATAGAGGTTATATGTGCGGTAGTTAAGAGTGAATCAGTTACCTACACAGTTGGGTATACGAGGGTTGAGATCAGTCACGGACCGGTGAAACACTTGGCCATTCAGCATGGACCAATAAGCGTGGCGCAGGGCGGAATAAGCGCACTGCCGACTGAAAACAATTTATAGACGGAGGAAGGTTCCCACTTGATCCCACTTGATTTCACTTCGCCTCAGGGTCGACTCCAATCATGAGGCGCAAGGTGGGAGTTGGAGTTGAAGGATGACACACAGCCGCACAGGATGTTGGGCTGAAGGGATCTTCAGGGCGTGGTTGGCGGGGAAGATTGACAGAGTACGAGGGTCTGCTCCACATATTTCTGAGGGGTCTTCATCCTGAAGGAATGTCAATCATGGCCAGGCATACTCTGGGCGCTCGAGGGAGGTGACATAGGCAGATTTCTGAGAGATTCTTAAGCCCCTTGATTTTCCTGTTTGTCTGTTGGGAATTGAATTCTCTATCGATAGATTCATTCAGTGACTTGGAGTTCCGTTGCATAACTTACAACTACTTACTACCTTACCCATTACCCTAACCCTACTTTCTTGGTTGCTTTTAAGCTACATACATACTACTTACATACAAACCATCCACGATGAAGACCTTTTCCCTCACCAACATCCTTCTCCTCTCCCCTCTCTTGATTCACGCCGCCCCCACGGGCCAGGGACAGCTGTGTACCCGGGATTCGACGCAAATCACCAGCGAGCAGATCCAAACCATCGCCCCCACCTCCAACACCTGCGCCAACGCCCCGGCCGCCGGCGAGTGTGCCACCTCCGACACCGCCGCCTCCAGTATCTCTAAATCCTTCCAAACCTACGGGGTGACCAATAAAGCCGAGCAGGCGGCGGTGATTGGCTTGATGGCCTTCGAAAGTGGGGATTTCAAGTACAACAAGAATCATTTCCCGGGTGTTGCGGGCCAGGGCAGTAAGTGCTTACACCTTTTGTTTTTTGGGGGGGGTTTGTAGTTTTCTCAGTCTACTTTCCTCTCTCCATATATTGTGTTTCTTCTCTTCCTCCATCCCTTTCGCATGGTTTTCTTGTTGAGAGCGAAGAATAAGGATTATATGTTGACGGATTGTCCGGTCCACCTAGCTCGGAACATGCAATCCCCCGCCTTCAATGCCAAATACGCGGCGTCGATCCCCGCCCTCGCCGACTCGCTGAAGGCCGTCAACGGGGACCCGGCGGGGACGTTGGATCTGTTGCGCGCGGTCCCGGAGTATGACTTTGGCTCCGGAGCGTGGTTCCTGACCACGCAGTGTACTGCCAGTGTGCGCGGCCAGTTGCAGCAGGGGACCCAGGCGGGCTGGGAGGCTTTCATTACCGGCTGCGTTGGGACGGCTGCGAATGATGATCGGAAGGCTTATTGGAGTCGGGCTGTTGAGGCTCTGGGGGTTTGAGGGGGTGGTGTTGTCCTTTTTGGGGAGGGGGATTCGGGGGTGGTGTTGTTGTTCCGATGTCTTTGGAGAGTTTATTAGGTTGATGAGATAGATTGGGTTGGTGGGTGCGGGAGGGATAGCATTAGAAGGTGATATCTCCTAGGTGTAACAACAATATGACACGGTATGACTTGGTCTATCATTTTTAAAACGAATCGCAATTCAACCCTCTTGCAATCTACAAAACTCCCTTGGTACTCACAACATCGCCCGCGCCGACCTCGCCTGCAACCCGTCTTGTGCACGCCGCCCGAATCGCCACGGCCAGCGCCTTGAACGCACTCTCCGCCCGGTGGTGGTCGTTGTCGCCATAGGTGCAGCCCACGTGCAGCGTCACGCCGGCCGCCTGGGCGAAACTCTGCAAACCGTGGGTGATCATCTCCGTGCTCAGATCCCCGATCTTCTCCCGACGGAATCCCAGGTTGATGACCGCCCACGGCCGGCTGGACAGATCGATCACCGCCCACGACAGAGCCTCGTCCAGCGGCGCGTCCCCGCGCCCGAACCGCGCCAGCGACTGTCGCGCGCCCAGAGCCTCGGTGAATGCCGATCCAACGGCGAGGAAAGTGTCTTCAGTTGTGTGGTGGTCGTCGACTATAATCACGCACAAAGCAATGTTCAGTTCATCGATCCTTTAGGTAGGGGGTAATGAAAACAACACAGGTCCCCCCCACGGGACACCGAATGCTTCGAGAGATCGGGTAAGAAAAACGTACTGTATAGATCTCCCTTGGCGCGGACCGCCAGACTCCAGCCCGAGTGCTTCGCCAGCGCGTGCAGCATGTGATCCAAGAACCCAATGCCCGTGCTCACGGTGATCTGCTGCGTCGGGGTGAACTGGGTGGCGTGTGCGGCATCCTTGGGCGGGACAATGCCCTTCTTCGCGGCTTCGGCCTCCGCGGGGTCGGTCGGCGCGGGGAAGTGTTGGCTGGGTTCGTAGGGGGGCAGGATGCCGCCGTCCAGGGAGAGCGAGACCTGGATCTTGGTCTCGTTGGTGCTGCGGGAGATGGATGCGGTGCGGGCGGGGAGAGACATTGTGAACGTGAGGTGATGGGGTTCGACCACGGTCGTATGAACCTTTTTCTGTTCTTTTTTTGGGGGGGGAATTGAAGATGGATGGTTAGGATGGATTGATGCGATTATCGGTTGGTAGGTTGGCAGGGCTCAATCCTGAATTCAACCTGGAGGCACCTGGCAGTGGGCAGTGGATGCTGTGAGGTGGAGTGGATTGAAATCGAGGGGCGGTGATTCGATTACCTACTCACTTATCTCCAATTTGACTCAGAATTTCGCGGGGCGGAACAAATCCCGCCCGCATTCCCAGTCGGAAGTTCAGTATTTCCGCGGCGGGATATGCTTCCCTTCCCCTCCCCGGGATTCACTGCGTCATATGATGGCCCTCCAATTTCTTTCTTGTCCTGCATGAACCAGTTCAAGTTCAAGTGATCGCATTCATCACCTCGTGCTGTCTCTCACCTATAGTGATTGATTGGAATTACTGTAGCTACTTTCCACATTGATACCGTTTCAGTTCTCTGGATCAGCATACTCTTGATACACTACCGCCAATATGCCACCCCCCTCCTGGCAGAGGCATGAAGTCGAACCGCCCGAGCACATCACCTCCGAGGCCGTTCGGGGGTTTCTTACGGGTGCATTCCGAGTATGATCGATACTTTCCCTGGACCGCTCTTCCAAGCTATTGACTCAGATCATAGTTCGGCTCCGTCTCAATCATCGCACACATGATCATGATTCTCCCACATCCCTTCAAATTCTCCCCCGCATCGTCTGCACCAGTCCCCTCGCAACCGCCCAACTCCGCGCGACCGAAACAGTCGCCGTTCTCCAGAGACTACATTCGTTCTCGACTGTTCCATCGGCCCCTGGAGGGCTTCTCCGACTGGCTGTCTCCGGCCTCTCGCGTCTATCGCGGACTGACGCCGCAGTTCAAAGTCTTCCTGCAAATCGGGGCCATGACGCTCGGTGGATATATCTGGGCCGAGAAACGGGTGGATGAATACATCAAGTTCGTGCGCAAGGTGAAGCGGGCGGAGAAGCTTCAGGCCGAGAGAGCTGCCAAGGGTCTCGACTAGGTTGGTATGTCCTCGTTAACGATACCCGGAGCGAGGCGGGCTGCGCCGGATCCATTTACAGCGGCAGCGACAGTAGCCAGAACGAAGATAGAATCGACCATCTAGACTGACTTGCAAAACCACAGCATAGCCACTCTTCTAGATTCATTTTCTTGTCGGCAATCTCCATCCCATGCTCCACTCTATGGAAACTACCGTGTTTGAAGGGTTCTCGCGAAACGCACTTCGACCCAACCTGGAACACGCTACCTACCCAAGCCAGCGCCGGAATCGGTCAGCCACCAAGGGTCCAGCCGATAGCGAACTAGAGCACCACGTAGATGGGTAAGCAAACAACCACCCACCAGGGGACTGACTGGCAAACCGCCGAGACAAAAGGCTGACCAGTCTGAGTGTCTGACCTGCCATTGTGGAGAGCCCGGGAGGATCTTCGGGTACGCGAGCCGGCCTGTGGTATACATTGTACGGAGTAGATCGCGAGTTTAAGATGAGAGGAGCCCGATTCAGGGGTAAATACGATCCATTGGAACGGGCGTTCGCCGGAATGGGTTCTTGCCTCCCTGCACCTGCACCATCGTCTTTGCTTTTTTTCCCCCCCTCGTTGTCCCCCCTTAGCCAAGCCTCAGTGATGGACAAGAAGAAAGAAAAGAAACGACCAAACGAGGCGGTGAAAATGTCAAAAGTCAAACAGTCCTCCAAATCAAAAATAAATCCCCCAACCGACCCGGCTAGAACATCGTCGATCTCTTGCCCTCGCGCGGACCTCGCCTTCTTTCTCGTTAGTACGGAGTAGAGAGCATGTCATGCCAGAAGCTACGATCCAGACCGTGGGCACAGCTCCGACCCTAAACCGTCGTAGTCTAGTCTACTAGTAGTCTAGTCGACTAGTTTAAGAGCCGCGGTGCGCCGGGCGAAGATGATGCAGGCCACTGGGGGGCGAAAGTGGAGCTTCTCTCCTGTTCTAGCTCGACAGGCGTCCGACGTAGCGCCAATGACGCGGCTGGAGATCGGCTTCTCGAACGCGTTTCACACTTTGCAGTCCACCATTGATCGCCTGGAGGGCTTTAGGGGGGGGCAGCTTCTGAGTTATCTGGGGTGCTGAGTGGGACTAAAAGGAGGGGAATGGCAGGGTAAGACAAAAGAGAAAAGAAGAGGAAGAAGATTTCTACGGTCGGGGAGAGTACCTGATTTGTATTCCCTTCATTAAGCGAGCGGCGACAGTGACTACTCGGTGGAAATTTCGGCTGGGAAGGCAACCCGAGATGAACGGAGTTTTGGGCTGGTGAGGCGGTCCGAATTGCTATCTGTTGTTGGTGGAAGTGGTGACTTGGCATAGAAGAAGTGTGTGGATGGTTCTGATTGTCTAGTAGTACTGACATTTTCACGATTAGGAGGTGATATTGAACAATAGAAGATATATGAATAAAGTAGAAATAAGAAGAAGTCCTAGTTGTTCTGAGAGACCGAGGAGGGAACCATTTCCGTTTTGGTCCTCCCTCACATATCCTCGTTGAGAAAAAACTCCACGGATTACTACCCCCTGATTTCCCCTCACTTCGACTGATACAATGACTTCAATTCCACTCAACAATTGGATTTGAGTTTACTTCCCTCGTCACATTTACATGTTGGATGCTGTTCGCAGGGGGTTGGCAGAGTTGGTTTGTCAGGGTTTGTTGGACGATCGTTTGCGGGAAGAGACTCTCTCGACACTGACATCATTTGCCTGGATCCGGGATCCAATAATTGATATTCTCCGGATTGTCCCTGTCAGGAACACTGGAACTGGAACTGGAACGCTAATACTCAAATTCTAAACAATCGCTTTGAAGCTGTACCTGAGTACCTGAATACATGAGCACCTGACCTTCTGTTTGCATCTCTTGCTTGCCTCATCCGGGGGCGCCTTCAATTGTCATTGATTGTCATTGTCGTTGGCATTGGCATTGGCATTGTCACCGTTGCTAGTTGCCCTCCCAAGCTCCATATCCTCCTCTAAGGGAATCGCCACCCAGACCAGACACTACCCAGTAGAAGTAATAGTGGTGAGCAAAATTCTTATTACACAGATTGGTGAGCTCTTCTGCTTCTTTTTCTGCTGTCTCGCTCTTTCTTTCTCTCTCTCCCCCTCCTCCCCCCCTCGTGGGATTGACAAACACCTTCCGTGTCCGGTCGACCATCTGGGGATTTGACAGCTTGTGCGAATGTATGAGGAAGAGGTTGAAATCATCACGGTGACGACGACCTCATCTCCCGGCTTGATCTACACGTCTATCAAGTTATACTCTAAGCAGATCGCCGTCCACTCCGATCTTCTCATCCCCTCTTTCCACCCACCATTCCCCCCCTCCATTTAAACCAACTGACGGTCTCCGAACTTCGATCCACGGGTCTGGGGGTTTGCCGGTTCTTGTTTTGACCTCCTCCACACATACATTCTCTTCTTCTGCTATCTGTTACCATATCATTCGGTTTTGACACAAATCTGATTTCCTGGCTTCAAGTGGTCTTTTTGCGATTGTTGACATTGACATTCAGTTTATCGCGAAGGTCAACGAAAGATCCTTCTCTTTACTCATTCAATTCCCTCTCTCCCCCCTTCTTCTTTGACTCCATCTGGTATTGAGCCTTACCTTGAACTACCCAAGTTCACCTACCAATTTCGCAATTCCAACTGCCTTGATGGCTGCTGTATGTTCCACCTTTTTCTTTTTCTTTTTGTTTTTTTTTTCTTTTTCTTTTCCCTTCCCTTCTCTCCTCCTGCGTTGTTCCCCCTCCTTCCCCCCCTGCCCGTGGCTCCTCATTTGGTGCATCCGCGCCCAGCTCCACCTCTCTAAGTCACTAGTCAACCGCTGGGGTTTCAATCACTCCTGCCTGTGTCTTGCTCCAATCTCCTCTGCCCCAAACCCATCATACTCCTCCCTCTCACACTCTCTCCACTCTCCTTCCTTTCCACCCACTCCCCCCCTCAAAATCTCTCTCTTATCGCCATCGGTCATGATTCATGCTAACAGTCGCCATCCTTTCGCTTTCTGCATTTCTCCAGTGAGACCCCATTTTCGGCCTCTCAATGTGATATCCTTTCTTTAAAAAAAAACAAACAAACCCAATCCTACCACCACCATCTGACCACTGCTGCCGCTTACTGCCCGTGATTGCTGCAGCTAGCTAGCTAGCTAGCTTCCTCCATCACTCCCTCCTTTCGCATTTCGAGCGCTTCTTCCCACCTTCTCTTCACCCCTTTTCTCCGCCCTCATCCTTCCCCTAAATCCCCGTCATGGCCGACCTTCTGGGGAAGAAAGAGCGGAGAAAAAGCCTGAGCGTCTTTAGCCCATCCTTCACAACCTCTTCCCTGTCCGACCCCGCAGTACACCAACGATCGCCCTCGGAGGATGCTCAAGCCTCGAAAAAGAAATCACGCCGCAACTCTGGCTTCTTTGGGGTCCGGAACCCCAGTCCGCCAAGAGCCGGCACCAGCTACACCCTGCGTCGTCCCGGCACCGCCGATTCGGAATCGACAGCATGCATGATGCCCCCGCCAGCCCTAGAGGGCCCGCGCTCTCGACGCAAGTCGATGCAGAAGAGACGGGCCTCGGTTTTCGGTTCGCTGCGCTCCCTTCATTCGTTGGAAGATGACGACCGCTCCCTTGGCCGCTCCAAAGCCAGCTCCCTGGACGAAGACAACCCCGACATCCGGCAAGGTATCGGTTCCATTATCTTGCACCATGGCGAAATTCAGATCACAGGCGGCATGTGGCGAAAGAAGAGTCACTACTTGGTCCTGACCGATACCCACCTGGTCCGGTTCAAGAATCAGAGCAAAGCCGCCGACATGTTTCCATCTATCCCCTCGTCTTACTCCCGGTCCCTGGCAAGCAATCGTCAGTCCGTCGTCTCCATCAGCTCGATGCAGGATCCGCAGCTGGGGATGCCTGGCGATAACTCTTCCGGAATTGCCCTGAATAGCATCATTGCAGTTTACATGTTGGACGATGGTCGGCCGTCGTCCACAGTGGAGGTCGCCTATGTCGATGAGCGAGCACAGAAAGCCACCTTTATTCAGATGCAGACGCCGGATTTTCAGGAACTCAACTTATGGATGGTGGGCATTCGCTCCGCGGCGGAGCTGATCCGAGGAGCAGACCCATTACCGTTTGACCGAAAGACGGTGGACTGTGTGGTGCGAATGCTGGACTACGAACGGGACTACGACCCCGAGACGTTTCGCATGTTCCGAGTCATCCAGATGGCATCCAGCAAATCTCCGACGCGGGCCTCGTCGGAGGATCTCACCAAACTCTCACCTACCGGTTGTTACCTTGCTCTGGGTTCTCACAAACTCCATCTTATTCCCCTACACAAAATCTCCAGTCGCAGCTCTGTGGTATCGTTGAGCGACTTGGACGCTGCAACGTCCTTTGGACTCATGAATTTGACCTGCCTGTCGATGGAGTGGGGGGACGATAGCTTACATCTGACATTTCGCTTGCCCCTTCGCAAACCATTCTCCGTTTTCCTTGCATCCGTTCATTCTTTGGAGGTTGCGTTCTGGATCAGACAACAGACGGAATTCTTGCGACCGTTATGGCTCAAGCAGCCTTATGACTTCATCGTTCCCCGAGACCTCGACAATGAAAACAATTTCCCCCCGGTAGATCTTGACGAAGATTTCGGTTGCTTCGACCGAACCTTGGTTGCTTATTCTGCCAGCTACGACATCGATACGTCTAACATCCGATATACGATCGACATGCAATGTGACGATGCTCCCTGTTTCAAGCTACTGCCTCCTTCAGCACGTCGGAAGTATACGGCTTTGGAATTGATCGCCGTTTTGCGGGCCTTGCGCTACAACGAGTCTTTCCGTGCGATTTCATTCAGCGGAGTGAGCTTGGATGCTCTCCAGGGGCTGCGCGACACGCATGGGACAGACAAAGATGCTCTTCTGAGCCGTGCTGGTGCGACCATTCACATTCCCGGGCAAGAGGACCTATCTGTTTTATCTCAAGAAGTTCGGGCCTTGACACTGAAGAGCAAATGGCTCAGACGCCTTGACTTTTCCTACACACTGAGCCGCGTCCCCAAGTCTGATAGTGAAAGTCATGACCCCGGCTGTGGTATCCCAGAGGCGATCTTTCCGATATGTCGTCGAGAGCTGACGAGCGTGGACTGGGTTGTTCTCAATGGCATCAAACTGGGAGATTCCGACTTGGACTATCTTGTCGATGCGGCCTCGCAGCGAGGAAGTCATATGCGGGCACTTGAAGTGGGCAATTGTGGCCTATCTGTGCACGATCTGGACTTGCTACTGTCAACCGTCGTTGCTCAGTCGCACACGTTGGAGGCGATCAACATTTCCGGCGTACAAGGTCGCCTGACCCCGGATATCCTTCCGCAGTATCTTGGTTACTTCAGCCACATCAAGACTCTGGACTTGTCGCGAATCTCGCGCACATCCGGTCCGGAGCCACTTCTCACGCCTGAGACATTAATCAACTGGCGCCTTGAGGAACTTTCGCTGAGCCGGACAGCTGTCAACCGGCAGACCGTTGACGCTATTGCCACGTATCTGGCTAGCGATCGCTCCCAAGGCTTGCGCGTTGTCAAATTCGACCAGTGTGGTCTGAGTGGTCAGGATGTGGCGATTTTCCTGCATTCTATGGCGGTCCTTGAGTCTCGCAACCTGCATCTGCATGTAAACGAGAACCGCCTTGATCAGGGTTGCTCGTATCTATTCGACGCCATAGCTCAGAACAAGACTCCAACGCACTTGTCTATGCGGATGATTGATTTTAAGAAAGAGGAGCAGTTCCAAGAGTTAGTCGAAGCTCTACGGGTGAATCGTTCTCTGAAATACCTGGATATCTCGAAAGCGTCCCTGCCCTACGATGCCGGGCCGGAGACTTGCAAGGCACTACAGCTAATGTTCGAGGAAAACGAGACGCTAGAAGATTTGGACATCAGTGGGGAGAGCGCGCACTTGGATGTCGCCCGGTTTGGGATCGGTCTCAATCTGGCCCTCACTGGCTTGAAGAAGAACAAGTCTCTGCAAGTCTTGAGGATAGAACATCAGAAACTTGGTTTGCAGGGCGCAAACACCCTTGCATCTGTGCTGGAAGCTAATGACTGTCTGCGCGAGGTTTACTGTGAGAATAACGACATCAACCTTCAGTCGTTCACGGTCCTGGTGAATGGTCTGCAGCGAAACCGATCCTTACTGAGTCTTTCCTGCATGGACCGAGACCGGGTCCAGTCTCTTGAACGGGTGCGGCGAGAAGTTGAGAGCGTTAAGCGGGACGTCGGCTTGGCTCAGAGCTCAACCACCAGTTCTATACGTCGCTCGATCCAGGCTGCCATAACCAACAAAAGCTCGAGTAGCAGCAAACTATCCAAACAGCAGCCATCATCTCTTCACCGTTCGGGTGCCTCAACTTCCAACCTGCTCTCCCCTGCGGATGCTTCTTTGATGCAACAAGATGTCGAAGTCATCTTGCAATCATTGAACCAAAAGTGGGACGCAGAGGTCGCGCGCCTGCGCCGATACCTGTTTCGAAACTACAACCTGGCGCATGGCTTGGACGATGGTAGCGCCGAGCTCGACGATGACAATTCCAGCGAAGGGCGGCCGGCTACTGCAACAACGCTGGGACTGATGCTCGATAACTTGAAACTGGATGTAACGGTATCGACCAATGAAATCCAACCACCACCGCAGCCCGATGATGGAGGTACCAGCCCGAAGACTCATCTGGAAATGTTCAACAGCCTTGACGCCGAGAGTAGCTTGGTCGCTGAGCTTCGTGAACGCCCGCAAACAGCCCCCTTCTCATTAGCAGATTATGGAAGCCAGTCATTCCTGCCTCTTGAATTCACGGGCTCCAACCCTCGTTTGGCAGTGCCAGTTCCAGCCATACCTCCGGTGGTGAACAAGACCAGCAGCGTTCGCAGTGCCCGCAGCTCCAGCACTGTTTCTACGGGAACCGGCACAAGTACGCGAAGCACCTACGGATCGGCATCCTCAACCTTGAGGGGGTTCTTGAGCAGTGGTGCATCCAAAGAACGCAAAAGAATGGAGAAAATGAGGTCTGGTGCAGTGTGTGTATCAAATGATCGGCCACCAAGACTGGACTGGGCACCTCCTCATCTTGAATTGGATAATTTCCGATAAGCCGGCCATTCTCGTCCCAAGGACATGATTTAATGAATCTAACGACGAGACAACCATATCAAGCTGTTTTCGCTAGTCGAAAGAAACGCGATTTTCCTGCCACTGTTGCGTGATACCTCCCCCCACTACTCTCAATTCGCTTTTGCTTCCACTTGTTCTACAAGGCACGCCTGTGCTTTTGTTCCTTTTTACGTGGCTTCGCCCACCTTCGAGCATTTCACTCCTTTTCGACACTCAGCCCTGACCTGGTTTTGGATCTCCTGGGTTTTATGCCAGTTTGGTCATCAGTATCTGGTGCTGTCCCATATCATCCATACTTTTTTCGTTCCTTTTCTCTTCTCACGACACTGATCCTGACTTTTCTACTCCGGCCCGCCTCAGGAAAGGCAGATGGCGGAGAGAAAAGCAGGACAACTTTGAACTTTTTTCCCTTCTCATTTTCTGCATCATCCTGCGTGGTTGGCGCATCGGCTAGGCGGCGTTCAAATCAACAGTTCCATCGAGAGATGTTTGAGCATCTTTGGGTTTCCAGTGAGGCGCATTCCAAGTTTGTCGGATACATTTTGTCTCTTTCTCTTTGCGGACCCCATGATGCCCATAATTGTTAATGTCAATAGAATATACCTTTCATCCACCCTAGCAAGCGGGATTGAACGCGAGATAGGGTGGGCTGAACAAAAAGAATGATGATACTCACGGTGAATGAGTGGGTTTGTAACTAGTTAGCATTGTTGACTCTCACGAGTCTTCCGAAGTCAGAAGTCAAATGAATGGATTCTCAGCGGCTGTACATTTTTGCACTCATTATGATGACCAACTCGAAGTTCCTGCATTCTCAAGGGGAGATCTACCTCCGCTACGCTTGTAGGATGAGATCCCAGTGCCTGGTGCCACAAAAGCCCCAGGGTAGATCTATTTGTTGTAGCGACTCGACTAACTCGACTGACTTAACTGATCTTTCACACGAGTCATCCGTCCACTTGCAGAACCAAAGTTTGATCTCTTATCCAGTCACTATTGTTCTTTCTGTACACTCCGCCCCTCCATCCTTTCATCATTGAACCCGTCTTGAGAAGAACATGACTCGGTCGTGCCTTCCATCAATCAGCTTATTGGTCGGATTACATATTCAGCCGGGGGATATGGGCCGGACGCTGCCATCCATTCCATACTATGGTACTATACCTACAATACACAATAAGATCGAGGTATCCACTTCTACTTGTCCCGCAAGAATACCACCTCATAGGGTCTGTGAAAAGAGCGGCGGGATTGGAGGGTCAGGGTTAGAGAGAGAAAGAAAGATAGAAAGAAAGATAGAAAGATAAGAGAGATGAATGGTTTCGTATTATATAGATCCGACGAAAGAAACTCAATAGTAGATGGACAAGAGGAAAATCAATTGCTTTCTAATCTTGGGAATCACTCAACTCCTATCCAGCACAAATATGCGCGTTGAAATTACACAGGCCCCTATCTGAAAATGAGTTGATTTTGGTAAAAGTTACATGCCAAAGAATTTTCCGACCGAAATCTTCGACTGAATGATGATGATGATGATGATGATGATGATGATGATGATGATGATGATGGTAGTGGTGGTAATGGTGGTGGGATTGGATGAGATCTGGACTCCTCCGATGGCTAATTCTCCTGAGTGGAGGTCTGCTGGGCAGGCTGCTCAGCAGATGGCTCTGGCTCGGGAGGGGACTCGCTGGTCTTCTTGGTGGGCCGAGGTTTGCCGGCGGGCTTGGTGGTATGCTTCTGGGAAGCCTTCTTGTGAGGTTTTTTGGCGGCCTGTTTACTGCCCTTCTCAGTCAACTTTAGGTGGCGGACATGTACCTTGATAGGAGATCCAATGCCCGTAGGGGGGAGCGTGCGATAGACAACAGGCGCATTTTTCCGATCGCGTTGATTCTCCCGCTCACGGTAACGGCGACCAGCCTGAGAAATTGAACGGAGCTTCTTTAGATAGGGAGTGAGTCCGTCCGATTTCTCGAAATCGAGAGCATCCCGGCGACGTTTCTGACAATGAGCATACATCCGATGCGTCTGCGAATCCTCTGGGTCCAGGTGATCGATCTTGTAAGAGACCTCCCACTTATCCTTCCTACCGAAATTCTCAGGTCTGGGGACCAACTTATCGTTCACGTAATTGTCGATTGTGAGCACAGCAGCAAAGAGCTTCTTGGTCGTATCAATTTCAGGCTTGCTGTCCAGACAGAAGTAATCCTCATCTTCCGCCCCTTCCGCCACGGCGTCAGTAGGGTCTTTCAAGGTAGTGTCATATTTCGGATCTTCATCCTCGACGGCCTCATCTTCGCCTTCGTCCTTGGCCGACTCCACCACCGGCTCATCGGGCAAATTCAAAACGCGTTTCTGATAGGCGTCAATGGCCTCCTTGTTCTTGTTCTGTATTGCCGCGATTTCGTCTGCCGTGACGGGTTCCGCGAAGATATACATGTGGGGCTTCGCGCCAGGGCGATTACCACGTGTTTCGAAATGGAAACGAAGTGACTGCTTAGGGAAGGCTTTCGTGACACGGTTCAGGATGTCATTCCAAAGCTGAATGCTGAGTTCGAATTCGCGATCACCCAAGTCGAGTTTGAATTGGCCGTGTAGCGCCTTGTCCATCTCGTTCAAGGAAATATATTGGAAACCGAAGATACGCTCGATATTGTGGAATGCAACGAAAATGCCGTCCATACGCCCGACGCGTACCTGCAGCGAGTACTTGAGGAAGGCAGCTCGAATCATATCATAATATTCACGCTCATACGATTCGTACAACCCGAGGGGCCGGCGGATCTCATAACCCAGGCCATGCTCAAAGTTACGCGCATCCATCCGAATTGACACCACGGCACGGGTCTTCAGATCGAACATGCCGGTACCGGGGAGTCGTGGATCGTGCGCGTCTAATTGCGAACGCATTAGGAAGTCGCCGAGTGTCGAATAGTGGTAAGATTCCGGAATCGCATTCTCTTCCTCGGGGGTGATCTTGTTGGCGCTGGACCGTCGATAGCGCTCAAAATCCGACTTGGGCAGCGTGAGTAGCTTCTCCATCGATTTACCCAGGTTCATTAGGATATTTGCTGAGTCGAATTCCTTGTCGGCATCAATAGCATAGACGCCATCCTGATAGTGCAGGAACATGGCGGCAGGCGCTCGCAAGAGCCGCGTGAAAGTCTTCAATTCTTCACTGAAGCCCTGAGACAAGCTGCTAGTGTCGACGGGTCGCCAAGCGGACAGCAGGTAGTGAAAGTGCGATAGCACGGAAGTCATACTCGAAGAGGATCCAATATATCTCCTGCCCGCCTCGCGCGCGAGCGAGTGCAATTGTTTATCCTTGGAGGATGTGATGTAATCTTTCAAAGCTTGGAAGTCAAATTCGGTAACCGGCATAATGGAACCCAAGTACGGATCGAAGTTGTAAACTCTGGATCTTGGGTCTCGCAGCGTGTAAACTCCCTGGCTGAACAATTGTTAGGTCTCGCAGCTATATCATGGTCACGCCTTGAACAGAGAGGGTGGCTCTTACTTGAACAAAACTCGATCCAGTCCAAATGCTAGGCCGGGAACATCCGCTGTTTTGACTGGGAGCGCTGCACAACAGTCAGTTCATGAAGAATTCATTCTCCGGCTCAGGCTCGCGAGGGAAGCTCGTATCACACGTACGTTTTAGAGATTGTCGCGCTTTGAGTTTACCAGAAGTGGTTTGTGTTGTTCTAGCAAAAACCGTAGTCCTTCCCCCGGGTGATTCAAGATCCGGCTCCTTTTTGTCAGAAGCTTCTTTGGGCAAGCCGTCTTCTCTGGAGACCTCATTGTGATCAGCCTTAGGATGCGATCCTGACTGCGGCTCCGATCCAAGCTGTTGATTAATGTCGGACTGATTGGGAGCCGGAGGATTAGGCAGGCTCTCAGTCTCGGTGCTAGCCGAAGCCTGGGAGCGCAGGCGAGACCTGCTCTGGAAAGAACGCGCCCATAACTGCTGATGCGGAGGCGCAGTCAAGCCACGGGAAAGACACGACCAGCAGACGTGACCCCTCGTGGGGGTCACGGCGGACCGCCACGAAGCCCGAAGCATTCAGGGCTATATCAAGGGGGAACCGAGTTCTATGTGAAGGTGAAGACAAGGATATGGAGGAAATGTAGAAAGACCAAAACGAAATGGACGATGGACCAGATGAGAAGAATTGAAACCTCCGGGGCGGCAGGCGGCAAAAGTTGTTGGTTGTTGCTCTTATCACTATTTTTTTTTTGCCGCTTTGCCAGGTTCAACAGTCGAATCCTTTCTGCCAGCGGAGGCGGTGAGAAGACCCGACCGCCTAGACACTCAGGCCAATCCTATCAATCCGGGGTCGGGGCAAATCACCGCTTCCCCGCCGGGCGGCCAACCCAGGCAAAATCCGACATCGCTGCTAAAAAAAAAAAAAAGAAGACCGACGATTTGACTTTTAAAACTTCCCCCACCATCCCTCAACCGTCAACTTCGTGCGCTGTTTGAATTCATCCCTTTCTTTTTATTCCCGCGCAGGTCGCTTGCTAGGTGAGTTGCTTAAGCTCGTCTTCAGATTGGTGCAGACATTGAGAAATTACTGTATGGGAATCCGTCAGATTCATACCAGAGACAAAGATGGAGAAAGACAAGAGAGACTCCACTTTGACTCTTGAGTATTGACTGACTCAACCCCCCCCTCCTCCTCCTCTCTCTCTATGAGAGCTTCTGTCTTTCCCGTCACCCTCCCAAGCATCGCTCATCTTTTCCTCTTCCTCTTTGTCTTCTTTCCCTTCGTTTATCCTGTTCCTTCCCTATCTCCGACTGCAATTGACTCTTACCGTCCCAACCTGTAACCACCACCACCACCCCACCATCTCTGTCCCGTCCCATACTAATTTCGACCCAATCCCTCAGGTTCACTCGAGCCCGTCGCGCCTCCCCCTCCCCCCTTCTCTCATCATGACTACCGAGCGGTTGCGCGTGCTCATTGTCGGCAATGGCGGTCGTGAACATGCGCTGGCCTGGAAATTGAGCCAGTCGCCTCGCGTCGACACCGTCTTCGTCGCTCCCGGAAACGGCGGTACCGGCAGCGGTGCCTCAGACAAGATTCAGAACGCCAACGTCAAGGGCGATGATTACCCCGGACTAGTGGCCTTCGCCCAACAGAACGGCGTGAACCTGGTGGTACCTGGTCCTGAGGCTCCCCTAGTGGACGGCATCCAGGGTTATTTCCAGGCCGGTGAGTTTTCTCAACAAACACAAATTCAAGCCACAGAAGTCAGCGCCGCCTTACTAACCACGGTCACAAACAGTCGGTATCCGATGCTTTGGTCCCTCCAAGGCCGCTGCCCGCATGGAGGGCTCCAAGACCTTCTCGAAGGATTTCATGAAGCGCCACAACATTCCCACTGCCGCCTACGAGAACTTTTATGAATATGAGCCCGCTCGCCAGTATCTCGACTCCGTTTCCCACCAGGTCGTGATCAAGGCCGACGGCCTGGCCGGTGGTAAGGGTGTCATCATCCCTACCACGAAGGAGGAAGCCCACCAGGCTCTTCGTGAGATGATGGTTGAGAACCAGTTTGGTAAGGCTGGCAGCGAGGTCGTTATCGAGGAATACCTGGAGGGGGATGAACTCAGTGTTCTCACTTTCTCCGACGGCTACACCATCCGTTCTCTTCCGGCTGCCCAGGATCACAAGCGCATCTTTGACGGGGACCAGGGCCCCAACACCGGTGGCATGGGCTGCTACGCCCCGACCCCCATTTCCTCCAAGGCCGTGCTGGATGAGATCGACCGCACCATTGTGCAGCCATCTGTTGACGGCATGAGAAGAGACGGTCCGCCATCATCCCTCCTTTGGTGTCTGCATCACACTAATACGTCTTCCAGGCTTCCCTTTCGTCGGCATTCTCTTTACCGGTTTGATGATGACCAAGGACGGCCCCAAGGTCCTCGAGTACAATGTTCGTGGCGGGGACCCCGAGACCCAGACCCTGCTGCCCCTGCTCAGCGATGATACCGATTTGGCCGAGATCATGGTTGCCTGCACGGAACACTGGCTTGACGGTGTTTCCATCAAGATCAAGCCCAACTTCTCCACCACGGTCATTGCCGTCGCTGGTGGCTACCCTGGCTCTTACGCCAAGGGCAAGAAGATCACTCTTGACTCTCCCGCCGAAGGGACCCTCATTTTCCACGCCGGCACCAACCTTGTCAACGGCGAGTTGCAGACCGCCGGTGGCCGTGTCATTGCGTCCACCGCGACCGCTTCCAGCCTTGAAGAGGCTGTCCGCAAGAGCTATGAGGGTATCTCCACCATTCACTTCGAGGACATGTTCTACCGCAAGGACATCGCCCATCGGGCATTCCGCCAGCGCGATGCCGCTGCCGCCCAGAAGGAATCACTCACCTACGCCGCTGCGGGTGTTTCCATTGATGCTGGCAACGACCTCGTCAACCAAATCAAGAGCTCTGTCGCCAAGACCAAGCGTCCTGGTACTGACGCCGTGATCGGTGGCTTTGGTGGCCTCTTCTCCCTCGCCGCCGCCAACTCCGCCTACGACCCCAACTCCCCGACCCTGATCGGTGCCATTGACGGTGTCGGCACCAAGCTCAAGATCGCTCACGCGGCCGGTGTACACAACACCGTGGGTATTGACCTTGTCGCCATGAACGTCAACGACTTGGTTGTTCAGGGTGCGGAGCCCCTCTTCTTCCTCGACTGCTACTCCTGCGGTCACCTGGACGTGCCCACGGCCGCCGCCTTCGTCACCGGTGTCGCCGATGGCTGTGTTCAGGCTGGCTGTGCCCTGATTGGTGGTGAAACCGCCGAGATGCCCGGTCTTTTCGTCGACAACACCTACGATGCCGTTGGTGCCGCCGTCGGTGCCATCAACACTACGGGCCCCAACGCCCGGCCTATCCTTCCCGAGACCGCGGCCATGACGGCCGGTGACGTGCTGCTGGCTCTGGCCTCCTCTGGCCCTCACTCCAACGGCTACTCGCTGGTCCGCAAGGTCGTTGAACGCTCCGGCCTTAGCTACGATGCCGCCGCTCCCTTCACCATGCCCTCTGCCACCGGGCCCCAGACACTCGGCCAGGCCCTTCTCACTCCCACTCGTATCTACGTGAAGCCCCTTCTCAAAGCCCTCTCTATTCCCTCCGCCACCCCCACCGCTCCCAACTCTTCCGCCATCAAGGGTCTTGCTCACATTACCGGTGGCGGTCTGGTTGACAACGTTCCCCGTATGTTGCCCTCAACCCTGACCGCACACATCAACGTGGAGGGCTGGAAGCTGCCCTCGGTCTTCGCCTGGCTCAAGCAGACCGGAAACGTCGAGGCCATTGAAATGGCCCGCGCCTTCAACTGCGGTGTCGGTATGGTTATTGCCGTCGAGAAGGGCTCCGAGGCTGCCGTCAAGGACCTCCTCCAGAAGGAGGGTGAGACCGTCTATGAGATCGGAGAGCTCCAGGCCAGAAAAGAGGGCGAGGAGGGATGTGTCCTCACTGGGTTGGAGAGCTGGGACGCTTAAACCTTATCCTGAAATGATTCATACCAACTGCTGCAATAATTGGTTTTTCTTTTTTCCCTTTCTCTTAAAACTTGAATGAAAAGTACTTCCTCGGGATTATGTTTAGATGAGGGAGCGGTGTGATTGATGTTTATTACGATTTGTGCCACCAGAGCATGGTTTGCCTGGTTTGTTTCTTGGATGTATTTATGATTTTATTACATATACCTCCTCTCAATGAGAGTGACATGATTTCTTTGTTCGAGCCCCACACGAGCATGAACATTTATCTAATTTGTGGATTCTGAACCTGGTTATCAACATGCAATACATGCAAAAAAAAGAAAACTCTCATCTACTCCTGTCGGACAGCGGACATGTTTCTCGTCCTGAAGAGTTGAAATTACTTCATGTCTCCCCACTATCTTACTCATAATGCTTCGAGTAAATAGACTTTGTTCTATCCTCCTGCTAAATCTATAAAACAGCCATGTTCAACCAGCACTGAACCTAGTTCAAATCACGTGCAAGGCAGACAGACAGTAGGTCGATGCTGATAACCCCAGAGCCAACAGTACCTGCAAGACACAATAATCACTTAGCCTGGTCATTTGCCCGGTAGATGAGAAGGTCCCAGCCGGCCAAGAGAAGATGACATCATGGTCAGAGCCTCAAACCTCAAATCATATGCACGAACATTGACTGCAAACAAAGTCGGGGTAAATTCCGCCATGGACTACCAGGATCACGAGATGATGAACATTCGACCCGCGCAGAACTCATTCGTCAGCAGCTACGGCAGGCGTGACTACGGTAAGCAGGTTTGCGGAGACATCATATTTGCAGTAGCAATTCATAGTGTCACAGCTGAGAAGGAATACGCGTGCAAGACTTAAACACGAGTGTAAAAGACTTATATGAAGAGAGTTTTCCCCAGACTGACCACAAGTCCCATATACATCTCGGTCCTACACCATTGCCTGGTCCGCTTGTCGCCGGATTTTCCGGGCGGTGGCCAGGGATGGTGGCCCTGGGCCAAGTGGCAAGCGTGTTTCAAAATGAAAAAAAAAAGTAAAAACCATCTCTATTCGACAGCTAAAATAAAAGTTCCTTTTTCAGGCGATCTTCCTCCTAGTGCGAGTCAGAGAGGGCCCGCCAGTCACCAGTGTCTCCGTCGGGTCTTTTGATACATGAGGGAATATGAGAGTACGAAACGAATCACGCGCAAGAGCTACAAAAGATTAGCATACGTACCAGTTCACCACAGAAGAACACAACATACCTTAGAAGCACTTGCGGTGGACGATGGAGGGACCGCTCTCGTCGTACTCCTGCTTGGAGATCCACATTTGCTGGAAGGTGGAGAGGGAGGCCAGGATGGAACCACCGATCCAGACGGAGTACTTGCGCTCGGGAGGAGCAATGATCTTGACCTTCATCGAGGAAGGAGCAAGGGCGGTGATCTCCTTCTGCATACGGTCGGAGATACCAGGGTACATGGTAGTACCACCGGACTAATTCATCATTAGTGAGCGCTCATGAGGGAACAATCAAACACAGAAACTCACCATGACAATGTTGCCGTACAGATCCTTACGGACATCAACATCACACTTCATGATGGAGTTGAAGGTGGTGACGTGGATACCACCGCTTTCGAGACCCAGAACGCTGGGCTGGAAGAGAGCCTCAGGAGCACGGAAGCGCTCGTTACCAATGGTGATAACCTGACCGTCAGGAAGCTCGTAAGACTTCTCGAGGCTGGAGCTCTGGGAGGCGGTCTGGATCTCCTGCTCGAAGTCGAGGGCGACGTAGCAAAGCTTCTCCTTGATGTCACGGACAATTTCACGCTCAGCGGTAGTGGAGAAAGTGTAACCACGCTCGGCCAAGATCTTCATGAGGTAGTCCGTCAGGTCACGACCGGCCATGTCGACACGCGAGATGGCGTGGGGGAGGGCGAAACCCTCGTAGATGGGGACGACGTGAGTGACACCGTCACCAGAGTCCAGAACGATACCAGTAGTACGACCGGAGGCGTACAGCGACAGGACAGCCTGAATGGAGACGTAGAAGGCGGGGGCGTTGAAGGTCTCGAAGACGATCTGGGTCATCTTCTCACGGTTGGACTTGGGGTTGATGGGGGCTTCGGTCAAGAGGACGGGGTGCTCCTCAGGGGCGACACGGAGCTCGTTGTAGAAGGTGTGGTGCCAGATCTTCTCCATGTCATCCCAGTTCGTGACAACACCGTGCTCGATGGGATATCTGAGGGTGAGAATACCACGCTTGGACTGTGCCTCATCACCGACGTAGGAGTCCTTCTGACCCATACCAATCATGATACTGCGAATTCATTAGATTCATGGAAGCCCATTTCGGATTGAAAAGGGGAAGCTTTACCCATGGTGACGGGGACGACCGACAATGGAGGCTGTAGGCAATGGTTAGTATCCTAGAATGATGGCAGAAAGGGGAGGCGATTCACCGCCCGCTCTCCTCCCCCGCAATAATGCCAACTCAATGCAAGGGAGCTATGAAAGCATGCCTTGCAGAGGGGGTGGCCATCACGAGGGTCGGGAGGGGTAGTCCGAAAAACTGGTGGGGGGAGGGGGAATGACTTACGGAAGACGGCACGGGGAGCATCGTCACCGGCGAAACCGGCCTTGCACATACCCGAACTGGAGAAGACCAGTTAGTAGGAGCTTCGGATGAATGATGGTTGAAGCTCAATGGCTCTCATATTTCCCTTGGCTTGAGAGGGGAGATTCAGGCAAGTACGTTGGCAACCGGGGATTGTTCAGTGTCGCGACCGGAGCCGACACGTATGTTTTGCCATCTCACCCCCCAGCATGGGCGGAACACAAGAAACAAGCTCCATTGCCAGAAACCATCAGCAATCTCAGAACATACCCATTGTCAATGACGAGAGCAGCAACTTCCTCTATAAATTTGAAGAGAAGACAGTTAGCAAAATGCAAAAATGTGAAGTTGGTGAATCATGATGGAGATGAGACGGAGGGGGGGGGGGGGGGAGGGGAGAGGACGGTTTCAGGGGAGAGCTCAGGGAAGCAAGCGAGAGACGCAAGGTGGCCGAAAGCTTACCTTCCATGGTGACTGTGGGATTAAGAATCGAACTACGGAAAGAAAAAGAAAAGAGAGAAGAGAATTAGAGGAGAGGAGGGTGGTTTGTGGTGGTGGTGGTGAGGTTGGGTGGGTGGGTGGTGATGAGATGGGAGAGGGGAAGGAGAGAGAGAGATAGACGAAGAGGTAAGAAAGGAAGAGGGAGAGGGAGAGAGAAGGAGAGAGAAGGCGGGAAAGAGAGTTGAGTGAGTTATTGGGAGAGCACCAGACACAGAGAAAGAGGCAAGAGAGGGAAAGGGAAAGGCTGTGAGTTTAGGAGGTCGGCGGGTGAGGGTGCGTAGTCAGCAAACACAACACAACAACACAAGACAGAACAAGACAAGAACAAGAATAAGACAACCGCCACAAATTAAAAACCTTTGCTAACAATTAGTGGATTAAATCAATTGATGGGTAGGTAGGCATTGGGTTCTTGAGCTCTTACTTACGGGTGAGGGGGGTTTTATTTTCCTAGATCTGGTGGTCTCAGGAGGAGGAAGAGGGAGTTGTGTACTGAACTCCTCGGTAACAGTACTGTATAGTTGTCCTTCTGGGACAGGGGAGACAGAAGGAGGGGGAAAAGGAGGAAAGAGGGAGAGAAAGAGATAGTGGGGGTTTGTCTGTTTGTCTAGACTGGTCTGAGTCTAGTTTGAGTGTAAAGCAGTTCGTTGATTGCACCAGCTCAACTTAGTGAGTCTTTAGTGCCAGTTGCTGTCACCGCCACACTACCCAATTCGGGGACGGCCTCACAATTGGGGGGGGGGGGGGTGGAAAAACCGGGTACTGGAGATGGGAGGAGGTAAATGTGTAAATGTGTAATGCGAATACGATTTCCGAACCACGAGCTCAATGGATTCTCATCCATGATCCATCCCCCCCCCCTTCTTCCTCTCCATCTTATATACACACCCATCAATCCCTTCCACACACACACATCTAACATTCAAATAGTGGTTGCCTTCAGGCAGAATGATTGTTGCTGCGGAAAGTCTGGAGTAAAAGCATTGCGCATTGCGCATCCCTCGTGGGGCACAATCGATCCTGATCCAGGGTTGCTGTCGTCGCCGCCTTCCGGACCAGAGAACAGGTTGCTGAATGATGTCCGATGATGCCACGCGCGATAATAATAGCTTAGTCTAGTCTAGGCCAAGGAATCATCATCGCTCCATCCCCCCCCTCCTCTTTTTATCCATCCCTTAACCCTTTCCCTATCGATGGATCATCCTACGTCACGATCGCTGAGCCTGACCGTCTGACTGTCCGACTGTCCGACTGCTGACCTGGCGAAACCCCCCCCCCCCCCCCTTCCCTCCCCTCTTCCTAAACTCCTGATAGTCGGACGGTCGGAAGGCCCCTCCGGCTTCTGGATCCCTCCCCTTTCCTTCGATTCGAAAGAATGGAGCCCCAGTCGAGCTCTTAAGTCCGTAGTAGTCTAAGGGGGGTTGTTTATTGACTTCACGTAAAGTGTCGGCCCCTCATTCATCTGGACGTTTTCTAGCGTACTCTGTCATTTGTGCTCGGTGTCCCTGAACGGGTCCATGATCGTCTTTCTTCATTTCTGACCCGACCGGAAAGAGGGTCAATTTTCGGAGGAAGCTCGACAAACCCCCGAAATTCAATGTAACGATTAGTGCTTCGTTGGTAATGGGCGACAATCGATCGACTGATGCCTGATCATTCATAACCGCCCCTAATGTGATTCTTTTGGGGGATGGGGGGTTAAGGAGAGGGGCCGATTCAACGAGCACCTAGACCAATTGCTTATCCTCGAGGATGTAAGGTTTTGGTGTTCGCCTAATCACGACAACCAAGGACGTACATGCAATGTCAGACGAATGGCACGATGTGTTTTAACGGTTGACTGTTTCTTGATCTGATATCACAAATGACCGCATCGCGGGGTATCCGATGGCGGGGTATTCATCGCCAGCATTGCTCAACCGAATCGAAAGCAATTACCGTCCCCAGAGAGAAGATATCGAGCCTAGAAGCGTAAGTGACTTTGGAATAGACATTGACCAAATGCATGATTGAATGGTAGTAATAGCCCTTGATTGCTAGCTATTGCCAATGTAAGCTGGCGATGGAAGAGAGTGGAAGGTAGCAGGAACCGCATGAACCCTCTGGATCCCTCCCGAACGTCACTCCAATTTTTTTTCCGCCCGCCAAATTGTCAGTCATTGAGAGTGGCCGGGACGTCTCCTACTTCTTCAACACCACCATACCCATAATTATTCCCCACGACCGATTCATTCCTGCTTGTTCTGTAATAGTACATATTTAAGTTCCAGTCACGACTGATCTATCTATTTTTCGAAATATCCTACAGCTTTCTGATCTAAAAACCTCCTCAAGATGGACGCCAACATGAACAACCTGCTCAAATGGAGCATCAAAGCTTCGACCGAGAACCGCACCGACGAAGGTGACAACACCGGGGCTGCTGCTGCTGCTGCTGATGGTACCCCACAGCCCTCCAGCGCCGCTTCGCGTGGTCTCAATCCCGAGATGCTTTCTGCGCTCTTCGGCGGTCCCACCGACGCCGACCTGATGAAAGCGTCTATGGAGGCTCTGCGCTCCGATGAGGTGGATCTCGAGAACAAGCTGATCGCGTTCGACAACTTCGAGCAGCTGATTGAGGGCATTGATAATGCCAACAACCTGGAGCCCTTGGGCCTGTGGACTCCTTTGGTGGAGTTGCTGCAGCACGAGGAGGCAGAGATGAGACGCATGGCCGCCTGGTGTATTGGAACTGCGGTGCAGAATAATGAGAAGGCACAGGATAAGGTATGTCCCCCCCCCCTCAACGCCTCTCTGCCTAAAATCTAACGACAATGTCAGCTCGTCGTTCTCAACGCCCTTCCGAAGCTTGTGACGATCTCCACCACCGATTCTACCCCCAATGTTCGCAAGAAGGCCATCTACGCCATCTCCTCCGCGGTCCGCAACTACCAACCTGCCATGGATGAAGTGACCAAGAGCCTGCCTGAGGGCTACTCTCGCGACAAGATCGACGCTGGCGACATGGATGCTGTGGATGCGCTCATGGACAAGCTGCGTGCTCACCAGGTTGAGTCTGCTTGAGCGGCTTGGCTCTGAAGGCCGATATTATGAGGTTGTCGCACGCCCTGCACGAAATCGCCACTAGCTGTACGGCCGTGAAGGCCGGGTTATTCGGCTTGTCGAATCATAAATTACCGGAACATATTCACAGCTCGCCGACGTTGAACTGCTTCCGAGCACAATCAGGCGATTGCATATCTACCAGAGCGTCTTTCCTGGCTGCTGATAAAGTTGCCTGTCGATCTGGGAATAAAAGTGCCTGGTGACAAGCACTTGGCTTGGGTCCATGATGGGACCTGGACCTCTATGAACCAGATCATGTCCCGCACTTGGGGCGGGATCATCCGCTTACATGGCTCTGCATGTCATGAGCCCTTACTGCTATGCATGAGAATATACCCACTTTTTTTAATGCGTATTTTGATTATTTGTTGCAATGAACAATGAACATTTTACACAGGTTCAAGGAAAAGAAGTCTTGTTTACGCAGAATATATCTTTCAGCCTATCGGTTCTGACGTTTCCTATTCTTGGCAATACGTATACATCGTGGACTTATATTGGTAGGAAGTTTGCGGTGGCCTAAAGAATGCACCATAGGCAACACTCATGTATGCAATCATGGCCACTCAACGATTTGTGCCCTTTGCTCCTATCATTACCAAGATAAGTGTGCATAAGCAGTCAATGTTGCCATCAGGCATACACTGTTACTAGATATATCATCTGAGAACATGTATCAAATAGATGAATAACCATGCGCGATTTGACAGGCTAAACGAACCACATACAAACAAGACCAACCAACAAATGCAATTAAAGGCAACATAAAACATAACGCCAATCACGCAAAGAGAAAGCACCAGAGTCCAATTGATCAACCTGAAATCATAACCTCCCTCCCTAGGTCCAGTAGTGAACCCATCCTCGCTGCAAAGCCACCCACTATATCCCTCTTCATCCACTCCAACCCTTGATTTTCATTCATAGAGCCAAATTATAGGTATAATCGTCTTCAATGTTCTGCGAAACCCAGAGCACCACCGAACTACACCAACAGCATTAGTCCCCCACTGACCATTGACCAAAACCGCCACCAGAGAAAAGGAGACATACCTCAACATCACCAACCCATTAGCAATGACATTGGCGATTCCAAAATACAAGGTGGGAAACGGGTACGACTTGATCAGATACTTGAGTACCATGACCGTCTGCGAAGCAATTGTTAGCGTGCCAATTCCCTTCTAAAGGCATCAGATGCCCATGCCCCCTGCCCGTAAGGTCCCAAGCCCAAGCCCAACGGAGAAACACAAAAGAACACAAAGGAACAAACATACCACACTCCCCGCCAACCCCCCGGCCAACAGCGCGAACCCCAGAAACAAGACAAACCGCGCCTTCCACGCGACCCCACTCCCGCTGTAACTGAAGCTATCCGCATGCAGCCGGGACTTCTCGATCGAATTGATCACCAGCATCCCCAGCGCCGAGCAGATGCCGGGGATCCAGTCGACGAATTTCACGTGCACGCTGGAGCCGTTCTTGGCGCTGTGCGAGAAGGCGGCCGCGTCGATGAGGAAGAAGAAGCCTAGGGAGAACTGGTTCGGTACATTTTGATATTAATATCACATCGGCTTCCAAGTGTATGGTATTACGAAAGGGTAGACCGGGGACGCGAAGGGAGAGGGACTGAAGGTGAAAGCTTACCAGTGCGCCGGAGGTGTAGACGCCTGCATTGCGGACGGCGGAGTTGTTGAGCCATTCAGGCTTGGACCATCGGAAGAGGCGGTTGTTGGAGACGTCCATGTTTGCCCAAGCTGATCAAGATGTAAGTGAGTGAGTGAGTGAGTGAAAAGATGGTGGTGGAGGTGAGATCGTAGTCGCTGAGTTGGACGTAAATAGTCAAGGTACGGAGTAGGTAGTAGAAGATGTTCGGGCTGGTTATCGGCAGGTTGCGGTCATTCGCGCTAGCTTGCCGGCGATGATGCAGTTGCTTGCCCGGTCGGAGCTCGGAAGAATCATCGGCCGGTCGAGTGTTGCATGTATACATTCCTGGCCATTGTGTACAATGCACACTCAACAATCATGTTCTATCCATAGATTGATTTCAATTATGTCATTCGATATTGTGGTATCATATTTTTGTTTCAAAGTGATCCCAGAGTTTCACGCGTACTTTATTACACCCTCGAACAACTTGACCCTACCAACCCAGCACTGCTTACTATGTATTTATCATAACTCATTATTCATCACCTGTACCAGCCAGGCTTAGTTCTCCTCGCAGAATAGTCGCAAGAACTCATCAATGCACGTCATTGCCTTCGCTTTCTCCAACAATGGTGGCAGCCCCACCAGCCCAGGTTCTTCTGCGGCTGCCGTCTCCTTCAGATACTTCCGCAAAGCGAACGTTGACGCGCGATAGGTCGCGTGATACATGGCCTTGAATTCATCTTCATCCGCATTTGGCCCGGCATCTGCTACTATGCGCGGATCTTTCTCCTCCGGCGTCTCGTCCTGATATCCCGGTCCGGTCCCGGTTTGCGGTCTACTGGAACCTCCCGAGCGTGTCGCAGTAGGTCGGTTGAAGCCATAAAGCCGCATGCACGTCAAGATCGTCCGCGTGATTGTGTTCTTATTCTCGGCAATGATTGCCCCGGCGTCTTTTGGTGTCGTCGGATATTCAACTTTGCCTCCCGGCGGTAGTGAGGGTGACGATCCACAGTCTCGTTTGTAAGTGGACGAAGTTGTAGTGGTGGTGGTGGTGGAGTCGATGAACGGATTGGGCGTACCTTTCCGAGAGCCAAGATCCCGCAGATGGCCTCGTCTGCTGCTGAGTCGAGAGGCATCGAATCGAGACTCGAGCGTCTTCCCTGCAATGCTCCCTCCAATGGAAAGGGACCGTGCTCGCTGCGATGCAATGCGTTCGATCTGAGGAAGAGAAGGTTCCTCGGATTCGCGCTTGATCCGTAGCGCTTGGAGTTGCTGTTGGGAGGCGTGCGAGAGTGAGTGTGCCATTAATTGCGACACCGCTTCGCCGCCCTTCTGCCGGACTCTTTTATGATGCTGTGTGACAGAATCGAAGAGAGTGGCAACTCGTTTGCGTTTGGGGCTTGGAGAGTAGATGTCCGGGAGAAAGTGAGCGAACTCGTCATCGTGTATGGAGTCGTCCGTGTTGGGAGGTGCGGACGCGGATTGTGCTCTGGTGATTAGAGATACGGATATGGGAGTAGCGTAGATTCTAAGCTCTTGTTTGGTGGTAGATCGAACCTGATCTTCCAGATCTGATGATGACGATCCAGGTGGGGTGGGAGGCCTTTCGGAGGAGGCTGTCGTTGAGAGGACGCCGTGGATCAATAGGTCGGTTGTGCCGGTACTGGAGACTTTGGCTGGTGCGCCGTTGTCGACACGAACAAGCAGACCAACCGGGCACTGAAATATTTGCAGCCGGTCAAGCTCGTTTTCTTCCAGCCAGATAGTACTCGTCAACTTGTCCTTGAGCCATATTGTAGTCTCGGGGTTCCCCGCATGGAGTTCAAGGTTAGGACCAGATCGCGCGTGGAGGGGTATAAGCGCCGGATTTACGAAGCAGCGCAAGCTGAGACATGATTCTTTTGAAAGATCAGATTGCCAGTTGGATGATCTATCGACTAGTCGTAGACCTGAATACAAAAAACTTAGGAGATGCACGCAAGCAGTTTTGTCGGATTCGGCTTACCGTGGAGTTGTGCTCCGCCCTCTAAGACGATCGTGCCAGTCCAGACATCCATTCTGCGTATCTAGAACTATACAAGCAACTCACATATCGTGAACTCAAGGTTTATCGGGTAACGGGAGAATTGTGAATCGTAAGTACAAAAAGTTCCGAGCTGGTCGATGTCCGGCGGGTATTTTTACACGAACGCGCCGCCGGAGCGCGATCCCACGTGATCCCATTATATGCTCAAGGCGGAACGCATCGCCGCATGACGAGGTGATCCGGACAACTTGGTAATCTACATCGGATGATCTTACCGGCAATGAGATAGGCCCGTACTGCCAATATTCTATATAGGTGCATAGTAGCTATAATACATCTACCGCATCGCCAAATGACAAACACAAAATCATAGCAAACCCCATAAACACACGCAAAGTCACCGTAATACTCCTACGGAACGGTAAATCATATCGATGGCTCGTGAAAAATATGAAAAGTTGGTAGACACATTGGGGGGGGTTAGGTTCATGCTAGGTGGAGAAACATTCTGCAGGGTGGGTATCCAACGCGAAGCCTGCCTTGCTGGAAAGCACGGCGCTCGGCTTTCAGAAGTCCTCCTGCTCCTTGAAGAACATCGAGAAGCTGATGATAGTTCCGTAGATGAGGAGACCTCCAACAATTGACATGACCATGGCGGGAATTTCGATCGCACCGCAATGCGCAAGGGCGGCTGGGAGAGCTGGATCGAGTAAATTTGGTTAGCTGCCTCGGACGGTCTCAAGAAGTAAATCCGGCATCGCAAGCACCGTGAGCCAAAGCTCTCGTCACCAGATATTGACAGGGGCGCTCGCAGATCATGCTTCCGGGATCGAAAAGTGCGAACTCACCAATACCCATCAAAACCAAGAAACCGGTCATGAAGCGGCCAAAGTCGGCAGCTGCGTTGCCGGAGCTGTCCATAAAGTCATCCGGATTGGCGCATCGTGAGCAGATCCAGTTGGGCAGGGGCGCAACCACATAAGTCGCAACAACAAGCAACGGTAGGAAGTTGTGCCAGAGAGCCGAAGACAGGATTACAAGAAGAAAACCAATGGCAAGGACCTATTGGATGAAATGCATTAGTAGGCGCAAGCAGGTGATTTATGAAAGGACCAAAGAATTAGAAGCGCGCATACAAAGGAGAGTGCGATGATTGTTCTGAGTCCGGCGGTCATGGTTGCGGAGAAGCCCCAGTCGGTGTGAGGAGGAGGGGTCGATAGGGAATAATAGCTTTGTTGAGGGGGAGAGTAGTGGAGAGTGAGGAAGGTCAGAAGACGCTGAGCAAGTGGTATCAAGCAAGATGCAGTAAAAGAGAATAAGGGTTGTGGATCGACTGCCTGGCAAACCCAAAACTAGAAGGGAAAGTGAGTAAGAAGAATGGGGAGGGAGTTGGGGATAGGCAGGCAGGTAGGTATGGGTGATACAAGCTTAGCTGGATGGACTACGAGTAGTAGTCAGTGACGTCCGGGCGCTGGACTGGTGCTGGTGCTGGTGCTGACAGCCTCAGGCAACAATCATCAACTGCGGAGCGGCGGAGGTCAGCTTACTGCTGCTGCTAATTGACTAGCGGCGGGAAGCTCTCGTTCTTGCTCTCTCTTGCTCTCGCTGGCCGTCACCGCGTCAGTTGCTCTCTGCCTGTCCGAACCTCCTCCTACTTACTACTATCACTCTATCTCGCTTCATTCTTTCCTGTTCTCCCCCCACTACCACTCATCTCCTACCTCTTTTCCCTGATCGGACTACTCTTCAATCCCTTGACTCCTCCTTTGAAACCCGATCCTCATCACATTTTCCCGCCATGTTCAGAAACAACTACGACAACGATGCCGTCACCTTGTATGTATTATCGCCAGCTTCTCTCGTCCTTCAAGACCCAACGCAAAGACACCTTCAGTGCTGTGCTAATCAGGGACTATGCGCACAGCTCCCCGCAAGGTCGGATATTCCAGGTTGAATACGCACAGGAAGCCGTGAAGCAAGGATCCGTGGTGGTGGGACTGGTCAACAAGACACATGCCGTGCTCGTCGGCTTGAAGGTATGACTACTCTGGCTACTTTCCCAACCCCATGAAGTGTTCTTCATTCTCTTTTTCCCCCTTACAAATAGAAGACCTCACAAAGCTGACATCTTGCCCCATCTCCTTGCCCCCCTTCCCAGCGTAATGCCGAAGAGCTCTCGTCATACCAGAAGAAGATCATCGAAATCGACTCCCACATGGGCATTGCCATCGCCGGTCTCGCCTCGGACGCTCGGGTGCTCTCCAATTTCATGAAGCAGCAGTCACTGGGTTCCCGGATGACCTACGGCCGCCCCTTGCCCGTCGACCGCATCGTCAGCCAGATCGGCGACCGCGCTCAAACGAACACCCAACATTACGGCAAGCGGCCCTACGGTGTCGGCCTGCTCGTGGCCGGCGTCGACGACGCCGGTCCCCACCTGTTCGAGTTCCAGCCCTCGGGCATGACCCAGGAGATGGTGGCCTGTGCCATTGGCGCCCGCTCCCAGATGGCCCGGACCTATCTCGAGCGCAACTTGGAGAAGATCGCCGGCTCCACGCGCGACGAGCTCATCACCCACGGCCTGCAAGCCCTCAAGGAGACCCTTTCCCAGGATAAGGAGTTGACAGTGGATAACACCTCCGTCGGCGTGGTGGGTCTGGCTCCCGAGGGTGCCAGGGGTAGGATCGAGAGCTTCAAGCTATACGAGGGCCAGCTGCTCGTACCTCTGCTGGACGCTTTGGAGCGGTCGGAAGCCGGCGAGGAGACGAAAGAGGCCGAGACGATGGAGGTGGACTCATAGAGCGTGGATGGGGGGACGGTGCCCCACCTAGCTTCGATTCCTCTAAATGAATTTACCTTCTGATAGTTATAGTCATGAATCGGGATAATCTCATGTTACCCTATAACCTTCATCGAATAAGAAGAACCTGTAAGGTTATATTATAGGGCAGCCATAGCTCTTGGGCATGTCATTGTAGACCGGAAGACACCTCATAACCATTGTGCACGGCATCCCATTCCTCGGGAGAATATGTGCTTGGATATTCAATACAATGCAAGCCAATGTGGAGATGCAGAAGGAAACCCCGCTCCAGCATGAAACCACTGAATGGCAAGTGCTTCACAGTACCCGTCCCAAGAATAGCTACGTAGCACCCTTAAGCAAGCCCAGATAGATAATAAGTGAAACGGGTATCATACTCTCCCCACCCGGAACCCAACCCCGGACCTCAACTTAGACCCCCACCTTAACCTTCTTCTTCCTTGATCTATTATCCTCCAGCCCGGCGGACGGCGTCGCAGCTCCCTTCTCCGAGCCCCTCCCTGGTGTATCCACCCTGACTTGCGGCGTGGGTACTCTTGCAGCCGTTGCACCACCACCGGCATTTGGGCCCTGTTTATTCATCCCGCCCGCCGCCGCCGCTGCATCCCCGGCCTTGGACATGAGGAACGACCCCGGTTCGCCGACCAGCGGGTTCTCATCCATGAACTCATCCCCGTACCGCGTCAGCAGACTGAACGACTCCGCCAGCGTTCGGGTATCTTGGTACACGGAGCCGCCCGTCTGCGCCACCTGCAATCCGACAAGAGGCGCCTTCGTTGGCGCGTCGGGCATCGGCGTGTTCTCTTTGCTCTGCTGCGCTGCGGCGGTGCCGGCTGCTTGAGCGGCTGAGTCGGGTTGTTTGGCCGATGGCGGGAGATAGGTGTGTCCGTGTGACGGTGTGAAGGTGGGTAGGGTGGATGCTGTTTTGAGGAGGCTGGTGAGAGAGGTCACGGCCGAAAGCTATGCCATGGTTCGAACAGAGTGAGCAGTTATGAGACAAGACGCCTTATGAAAGGATGAAGAAGGCAGGGGGGCAGCCTTACGATTCGGTTCCCAATGACACTTGCCACTGATGGTGCCATGTAGATGCAATCGCCGACGATAAAGTAGGTGGAGAGGACCTCCACCTCGTCCTCTTGTCCGGCTCGCTTGCGCCGCGTCTGCTTCCGGATCACCCAGATGTTGGAGGGCTCATGTGCGAATCGCCCGTCCGGTTGCGCGGCGGCCTGGAGTGGATCGTACGAGACGATGAATTCTAGGCCCTGCATCGTGGCGAGCCGGCCTTCGAAGGCTTCGCGGGTCTCGATGAATTGCCGGAAGGCTTCATTGTAGTTGGCTTGGATCGCGAGGGAGGCATTGTTGGATGTGGGATCGAAGAAGGGGGATTCGGCAAAGTAGAAGAGGACTAGTCATTGGAGAGACAGTCAGCATAGAGAGAACGAAGATACAGTACATCGTGTGACTGCCTAGTAGGAAGTCATACTGTTATTCGAATGGAGATAGCCTCCCATCATCTGCACGTGCGGCGGGGATCGCCATAGGATTTCCTCCAGTGAGGACTCTGGTGCGGTTGCCATGGTGTTCGGTAAGCTCGCACAATGTTCCCTAGGCTTTCCTGGAGACTTGGGTAGCTATGAAATAGATGTGCAATGTGCTACGAGACTCTATCAGTGTCAAAGAAGTGACAGAGAACGAAGCTGGAGAGATCGTCCGAGGCAACTCTCCGCGGAGGTGACGATGTTTGGCGTGTTTGCATCCAACGTCGATCAGTTGTTGAATGTATTGTGCTGTAAATAACAAAAAAGGCTACAACTACAATGAGGTAAATGTGAATAGGAAGAGATTCTGTAGGGAATTTATATAGATTCCAAGTGTTGTAATCGAGTCGCAACATGCTAGTAGGGTATCTTGTTGAATAGAATCAGTGTGAAAACAAATCCGCTAAAGCTGCGGGCATGGCCTGCCCGCGATGCAAATGAAACCAAACGCCGCACAGTATATGGTAGATGTTGAATGCGATTTTCTGCAACGTCTCTTTTGCAATCAATCAAAGTAAAGAAATGTATGTTAGTATGGTAGAGGGCAATGAAGCATGCTAGGCATTCTTTATGGGCCGACAATCAAGCGGCACGAATGCACCAAGGACTGTTCTCAACTTGGTTAACATCTCCTCCCATTCGCCTTCAGCAGTGCTAAGAATGGTGACTGCGCCGCCTGCGCCGATGCGCCAGACCTGTTCGACATCATCGTCGCCAGCACATGTAAAGGCGGTGCGTATCAGGACCGAGAAGCTCCCTCCACCACCGAGATCAAGAAAACCCATTGCACCAGAATAGACTCCCCGGTTTCGACCCTCAATCGAGGAAAGGTGCAAGCACGATCGTTCCTTCGGCGCACCGGTCATAGAGCCAGGTGGGAAGCATTGCTGCAGCGCCGTTAGACCATATGCTGACATGCCGTTTGAATATAATTGTGGCATATCTTGAGCCGCAAAGCCAGGTCGGTTTGGGTCGACCTCTCCTATGACATGCGTGATCATTTGGTAGACGCGCCCATGGTCTTCTACCTCGAGAAGCTTCTCCACATGCACCCCTCCCGAGCCACAGATACCGTAAAGGTCGTGTCGGATGAGATCTGCAATCATAAGATTCTCTGCTATCTCTTTGGTCGTGCCTAGGATTTCGCGTGCCTTTTCAAGAGTCATGTCGTTCGTCTTCCTCACAGTTCCTTTCATTGGTTTCATTTCTAACCGAGAGTGACGGTCCCAGTTCAGGAAACATTCAGGGCTGCTGCTGACAATCTTGAGGTTTCCTAGTCTGGCATAAGCACTGAAGGCGGCAGGGTTATGTTTCTGAAGACGCCGGTACAGTTTCCAAGGAAACTCCTTGCGGCCACTATTGCTTTCTGCTGAGGGCAATGTTATGGTAGTCTCATTGGTAAGACATAGTTCGTAAGATTCGCCAGCTAGTAGTTGTGCACGACAGGCATCGAATTGGTCCTGGTAAATTTGCCGATCCGGGAATCGCACCACACCCTGCTCAAGAATGCGATCCAAAGATTGCGAATCTGTCATCGTACCTTCGGTTTCAGCGGGTCTGTCAGAAGTTGCAAGCCTTTGGAGAGACGTCAATGTCTCATCCAGCCATCCATTGGCCAAATCATCCGTCGCACAAGTAGACTGGATGGTGACGCGGCCAGTGTGATGATCAACGACCACACTCCTTTCAGTCCATAATAAGCTGGCATCTGCAGGATTGCTCGAGGGACCACCGGCTCCTGCGGCATGCGTCCCTTGGAAATCCTGTTCGTGACTTTTTGGACGGGCAATGGAAGCCAGCCCCATTTCGTAAGAAAAGTAACCCAAAAAGCCGGCCCAAAATGGGACCGTATCATCACCCGTAAGCACTTTTTTGGCATCCATGAGGAACTTGAGTGCGCTCCAGAACCGAGATGCTGACAAGCAATCCTCGATTGTGGTTTGGTGATCACTGGGTGAGCTCTTCGTGCTGCCGACTGATAACTTCTCTAAGAGCAGACGTTCATTCTGCGCATAGTATTCGAGCCTCCAAGTGTTGGAGCTAGGTACAGATATGATGCTGTACCGGCCGTTGGACTTGAAAATGACAGCTGCCGACCCCGGACTATTGAGAGCCTCGCAGATTGTCTCGGCTCCTAGTTGCTGGGACTCAAAAGTTCGGGAGGAGGAGTGACTCGATGTTGACGCACTCCACTCTAACATAGTATGGACAATGTCCGGGATAGATGGCAGGTCACCGGAAGACTTAGGCGCGACAATTGACATGCTACTGTAGCTGCCTCGTCCATTCAGTTTGTTGTATCGGAGAGCCGCAGCCCACCACTTTTTGAGCAGGTCGCTGCATGCTTTTCTATCTGACTTGCAGGATTCAGGATGAAATTGAACGGCCCAGAATGGCTTCTTCCTGTGGCGAACAGCCATTGGAATTCGTGTCTGATGGGGTGCGCCGTCTTGCTCAAGAGACAGCCAGGCAAGGAGATCCAGATCTTGCGCAACAAAATCATTGTGGTGACCATCATCGGAGACGAATGACTTCATGTCAGCGTACAGCGAGTGATACAGTGTGACTTCCAGCTCCTGAACATCTCGAAAGATGTCCTCCTGTGCTGTCTGAACGCGACGGACCTGCCCGTGAATGGGATATGAAAGTCGACGAATCGAAGCCCCGTGGTGCAGACATAAACTCTGGAAGCCAAGGCATATTCCAAAGATAGGTAGTTGGTTCCTGCCATCCAGTTTCCAGATGTCTCTCATGATCCCCACGTCTTGAGGAATGTGAGGATCGCCCGGACCAGGCCCAAGAACGACGGCCTCGAAACGCTGCACATAGTCGGCCATGTTGCCATTGGGCCATGATGAGTCAATTCTCAAGACTGAGACTGTGGCCTTGAGAACTTCTTCCAGCATGGCGACGACATTGTAGGAGAAGGAGTCATATGCATCAATGTACAAGATGTTCCTGGGTGGAAGTGCACGTGAAGTAGCAGCATCATGGCTTATAGTAGGTGCCTGGCCTTCGCTTGCTGACTCCCAGAATCCCAACGAGGGAGCCATGTTAGGACACCGAAATTTGAGAAGAGGTCTGCAGGCAGACCCAGAATGTGATAACAGAGATTAAGACAAAGAGATATTGAACAGCATGGATGCATTCAAATGCATAATAAGAGGGAGATCATTGAAAGGAGGAGGGGGAGGGGAGTGGAGGTGGATTGACTATCAGATAAAGAACGACGATCAGGAAAAGATGCAGAATCCGCCACTCCAAGAGTGGCAACGCTAGTAGTCCATAGTAACTTTACAGTCCGTACGGAATACACCCGCTCGGTTCCTGAAAATACCGGAGGAAAACTTTAAGATCTGCTTCGGTCCGAACTTCATCGCCGCCACTTGTACATAGTATTATACCTCAAATTCAATTTAATTTACTGTACACATGATATATACTTTCTAGAAAAATAGATAGGTATGTATTTACTATGCGTAGGTCTATCTATCCCTATTCACCACGAATGTAATACATGATAGCCATAAAGCCAAGCCCTGAAGACGCCCC